TACCTTAAGGTCTTATTTAGCTTTTGTGGCCTAATGTGAATCTTTTCAGGTGATTTTTATTTATTTTGATCACTTTGCTTCAATGGAGCCTCATGGTTTGCTGATCTTCACTCATTCTCTATGTATTAAACCTTTTAGTAACATCTATGTCTCTCCTTTCTGAGTCTCTTTCAGTTTCTTCATGAAGTTTTTAGTTTGTATGAAAGTTTTATGTGAACTTTGTATTTTTTGTGAGTTTATTTTCCTTTCGGGTCTGATTTAAACAGTTTTGCATCAGATTTTGTTTAGATAAGAGAAGGATTTTCCGGCAATAGAGAAACTGTATCATAAACACAGACTCACAATTATTAGAAATGAACAGAAAAGGAAAAAAAGAACAAATTACTCTAATCTAAAAGAGTAAATAAAAATCTGAAAAAAATAGCAGTGGGAAATTGTTAATTTTTTTATGTTAGTTTTTCTTATTTTATGCTTTTTATCTGGAACTTGTCATTGTTTACATCATCACTCTTTGTTTTATTGTTTTAATGTCAGCTTCATTTAATGCTTTGGATTTTGGTTTATAATATTTTGCAGCCTTCTTTGTTTGTGGATATTCTGACTCGTTTCGTTGTTTTTTTGGTTTCATTTTATAATTTGGATCTTCTGCGCATTTTACAGCCAAATTCTATTTTGAGACTTTGTCATTATTTTACCTTTTCAGGTATTTTTTTTTTCCTTATTGCTTCTTTTATTTAATTCAGGCGGTTTTGTTTCACTTTGAAACTGGTCGAACTCATTCTTTCTCTGTTTCTGGACATTTATTTCCTTTTTCTCAGGGTTTGGATGCTTGGAATTATTTTCCGTTCTTGTAATTTCGCATCTTTTTCTTTAAGATTTGGGATTTTTGTATTTCTCTGCAGTCGTTTAAGTTTCTTTGCTCCTTAAAAATCAGTTTTTCTGCCACACTCGGTCATGTTAATGAAATGCATTAATGTGACAGTGTGACGTTTCTGCAGGTAAATAAGGTTTTAGGTCAAATCATCAGACTTTTGGAGACGTGATGCAGCTAAAACCAGGAACAAGCAGCAGAGAAGAACGCTCAGATCTTCCCCATACTAAATGATTTTAGTAAAGTGAATAAACTCTGCAGCAAACCTCAGATACATGAAGCTGAGTGACGTTCCCACCAACAGGGGAACCGACCAGAGAATCCGGCCTCTGAAAGCAGAAACGGATCCATTAATGGAGCAGCAGCTCTAACTGAGCCGTAATTACCAGCCTGCCTGTCGCTGAAAGACTAATTTCATTTGGTCTGAAATAAAAAGCTCTGCTTCGGGTTCTGCTGCAACCCAAAGGATCCGCTGTGATATCACTCTGATCAGGGCGTTGATAACAGTCTGAGCCTTCCACTGGAACAGAGCTTCCTGCTCTGGTTGCTGCTGAACAGAGGAGAACGCTGCTCCGTGTTCTACTGACCACCATCTGTGTGCAGAGATCAGCCTCAGAGGACCTGTTGGATCCAACAGCTGAACAAACATCTGGTGCTCAGCCGCCTGCAGCGCTGCAGTGCAGAACCAGACTGATACAGCGATCAGAGAACCTGAGTGATGAAGAGTCAGGAGCCGAGTCTGAGGAACCGTCCAAAACACGCCTGGTTTGGAACATCCACAATTTAGAAGCAAGCTTTTATTCTCTTTCAGTTCAAATTCATAGTTAAGCTAATCAGTTATTTAAACTTCAAGCATTGAAAATATAACCGCCTGTTGGACTGGAATTAAAGGTTTCTGGTGGTGCGTTTAAATGCTCCTGAAAAGTTGGAATTGAACCTAGAAAAGAAGGTTCTGACAAAGAAACGAGAATAATGTTGCATCCTGGACAGCGCTGTGTGCAGGACTGATAGAGTAGAGTAAAATAGAACAGAACAGATTGGAATAGAATAGAACAGAATAGAATAGAACAGAATAGAAAACAATAGTATAGAATAGGATAGAATACAACAGAACAGATTGGAATAGAATAGAATAGAACAGAATAGAATACAACAGAACAGATTAGAAAAGAACAGAACAGAATAGAATAGAATAGGACAGAACAGAATAGAAAAAACTAGAATAGAACAGATTGGAATAGTATAGAATAGAACAGAATAGATTGGAATAGAACCGATTAGAACAGAACAGGACAGAGTAGAATAGAATAGAACACAAAAGAACAGAATAGAATAGAATAGGACAGAGTAAAATAGAATAGAACAGATCAGCATAGAATAGAACAGAACAGACTAGAATAGAATACAACAGAACAGATTGGAATAGAACAGAATAGAATAGGACAGAGCAGCATAGAATAGAACAGAACAGATTGGAATAGAACAGAATAGAATAGAATAGAATAGAATAGAATAGAACAGAACAGAACAGAATAGAATAGAATAGAATAGAATAGAATAGAATAGAATAGAATAGAATAGAATAGAACAGAACAGAACAGAACAGAATAGAATAGAATAGAATAGAATAGAATAGAATAGAATAGAATAGAAACATCCCTTATGTAGCAGCAGAAAAGTGTCAAACCAACAGCAGTGGGCGTATTCTTCCAGCTAACAGCCGGCAGCCATAATGGATGAATCCTGTTTCCTTTTCCAACATCAATGCTCCTGGTCTTCCATTAACTCCAGCAGAAAATAAAAGGTGCTGATCTCAGGTCAGACCATCAGAGCTAAAATCCACTCCATCACCAGTTGGATTCATCCAACTCCCAGACTGTGGAGCAGCTTTAACTGATCAAATCATCCAGCTGATGATATCCTGTTGCTACACTCAAAATAACAGGCCCCTAAGAGCCAAGGGCCCCTGCACATCTGCCCACGTTTCTCCTAAGGTTGGATTCAGACTCTCAGCTTCATCCTGTGAGATGCTACAGCCAGGGGCGGATTTAGGAAATGTGGGGCCCTGGGCAAAGACAGGGAGGGGGCCTCTGAATGGAGAACACATCAAACAGCCCCATTATCCAGATAGATAAATAATAATAGAATAGACATCCATTATCTGTTCTAGGTTGTGTCCCTCTCTTCTTGTCCCTTTTCTTCTTGTTTTCCTCTCTATGTTTTGTCCTCAGCTGACTTTTCATGCTGTCTCTAAAGGAATGAAAGATTTTTTCCAAGCACTAAGCTCACTTAGCTGATTGCTCCTTCCTGTGTTTCCAAAAAGGCCAAAGTAAATAACCCAGTCCTTCTTTTCACTGTAGACAAGCAATGATCTGCTTATCTGTTCTCCATTTTTCATTTGGATGAAATAATAGCTGCATGAATCATGACAGCAGACAAGATAGAGGAGAGCAGGAGGCGGGGTTACCAATCTACTCGCTCTGGAGAGCAGAGTTCGCTGCTTTTAGATGTTGTCTCCAAAGTCTCCAGTAGCAGAAAAAAGTCTCTAGATTTGGTGCTAGGAGCTTTTTGGAAATAAAAGTATTAGAGGGGTCTGAAAAGTCTGAAAATATAGCGACTAAAGCGCTAAGTTGGCAACACTGCTCTTCATTTTCAAATGGTTTGCTGCCATCTTCTCATCAGGCAACAGTCAATCTAACTTCTTCCACCATCAAGCTTCATCTTATGAGACCAACGCCATCCCGTCCCACTGCTAATGTGACATATGGTAACATTTCCTTCCCCCTGATGGACTTAAGAAGCTGCCCCGTTCCGGCTGACTGAACTGATAACATGCAAAGAAAACACTCCTTGCAGAGGAGCTCATGCCTTCCATCCCCCCTGCAACCTGCAGCAGCTGCTTCAGTTAGCAACAGACTACACTTCCCAGAATGCCTTTCACTGGCCTGCAGGCTCTCAGACATGTGACTGCACTAAAGCAAACTTGCATCTTCATCTCCTGTGATGATTTTGCGTCGTTTAGCTGCAGGAACACGAAGAAGCTGGAGGAAATGATGCCTCCAGTTTTACGCTGAGGTGGATCTGCTATAAACCCTCAATGCACCAAAGTTTCTGCAGGAAACTCTATTGTTCTGTTCTATTGTTTCTATTTCTATTCCACTGAAGAAAAACAGATGGTTTGGTGCAGGAGTAGGATCATCTATGGTTTGTTTCCTTCATGCAACCCTGCAGCATCGACCAGTTTTATGAAATCCAGCTGTGCAGAAAAATAAACAGAATTCATGCCATGAATCAAACAAAGCTGATATTCAGAATAGTTCATGGATGAATGACTCAGACACACCCGCTTTTATTTATCCAACACTTTTCAAACTGTGATGCAACACAGAGAGCCTGACAAGGTTCAGACAGAGCAGAATTTTGAGACGGATGAACCGAGACCATGAATGCATCAGATCAGAGTCAGAGCAAGGAAGATGCTTCCATGATGTTTTTTTGGAGAGCTTTATCAGAACATGACGGCTTTGGTTCAGGTCTGATTGTGGGTTTGAATGAAGCTGATTAATCCCCCTCACAGACCTGCTATCATCTACCATCAGGAATGCAGCCTATCAGGGCCATCAAACCTGGAGACAGATGCTTCCACCCAGAAATAGAAACACATTAAAGCCTCTAACTTTGATCTGGAAGCTTTCCAGCTCAGATCAAACCCATTTAAAGCCCCTGCCTCAAGCTCTCTGCTCTAGAGCTGTGGCTTTGTTTCTAGTCCTCTTGAAAAAAGGCTCTTAGTGTGGATTGTTTTTGTAAAAGAAAAGCATCTCTGTTGAATTTTTGTTTTTCTATGATGATAATCTAAGGCTTTTAGATCTATATGATAAGCTGGTAAACGAGAGAGATGAAGGAAAAGAGAAGAGTAGCAGTTTGACTCATTTCTGTCTAAATAATTATACTAAATAAATGTATCTTTCTTAGACGCCTTCACGGACCGTGGGACAGCTCAGACCTCTGACCACACCAAGGATTGATCCATTAGTTTTAATGAGACGGTCGATGCTGATGCGTCCATCCGGGTCACACTGTCATTACCCCCCCCCCCCCCCTGCAGCTGTTGCACCATGGAAGCACTCACCATCTTCCCCCACAGCTGGACGCGTCTCCTCCACCTTCACAGCGCGGCCCTGGGGCCCTGCAGAGCCCCCATCCCCCGAGTCCCCGGCAGGCTGCAGGGGCGGCGGATCCCAACCCTGATCAACCATCCATCCATCCGGGAGCGGAACCGGGCTGGGAATAAAGACACACGGCTTACATTCCGATCAGGGAGAAGAGCTGCTGGAGGCTGATGATGGACTGATGATGGTGGAGAAGAGGGCGGTGCATCAGGGGGGAGGAAGAGGAGGATGCCTGCATTTAATGACGAGTTCAGACCTGCTGCATTTATTGACTGCAAGGAAAACATTATAGCTCCACAGCGACCCCTGCTGGCCGACTCATTAAACATCTACTGCTTAAATCCTGCAGGGGGAGTCCTTCTATGGGTGGGGCTGGAAGACTTTAACAAACTAAAAAAAAAAAAAGGTTAAAAACAAAATCTAAAAGTTATTTGAGTGAAATAATAAATGTTTCTACTTAATAATCTGGTTCCCACAGTCCGGTAATGTCTCTACTCCTTATCCCAGTTAGGGGCCAGATAGACAGGCAGGGGCCCCAGGGAGAACCTGACTACTGCTGGTACTAATTATAGGATCTGAAAAGCTCTCACAGCCCTGCGCTTCCTAAGGTTTCCCCACAACCTGCATACCTAAAAAAAAAACAAAATAATAATTACACATAAAACATCCAAACATCTGTGCAAACTCCTGATATAAATACTAGAAAAAGTTATTCTCTGATTATGTTAAGTCTGAGTCAGCTGGTTAGCTGTACATGTTCTGCATATTTGCTGCATAGCTTCATCTAGTATTGTTTTTCAATCAGTACTTCTCTTTTTATTCTTATTCTTCTCTTTTTTAGGTCTGGGCTTTGGCTAGGCCAAAAGTCTGCAAATCATGCTGAAAGTGGCTCTAAATAACTGGCTGAACTTTTTAAACAGTCAACCTGTATCATTAACGCGTGTAATAATGCTAATCTTGCTAATTTCTGAATAAAATCTTCTCCCTGTTCTGTAGGTAAAGTGTTGTGGCCCACAAAAAAGTCCACAAATGTTTTCTTAGTTTATGTCTCCTCAGGCAAGCAAACAGAAAATGACTAAAATTTCCTCCATGCTTCTGTTGCAATGGTAAAAAAAAAAAACATATGTCGACCCAGATGCATGCTGGTCCTACCATTAACAGCCTATTTATAAATTTAATTCACCCAAATTAATCAGAACTAACCAGAAACAAAAGAACATAACTAAATAACCAAAAAAATAAAAAAATAAAATAAAAAACTTAGTTAATTATTAACAAAAATAGTTGGCTCATACATAAAGAAAACAACAAAAATGCTTGTTTTTTTAAAGCCTTCATTAGGTATGATTTAAAGCTGTTTTTTATTTTTATTCATTCTCCATTTTGTTATCCTTTTTGATAAAGCTCATAGTTAGTGGCTCAGGTTATCCTGAGCTATCTCTATAGTTCTGCTGCTATAGGCTTAGACTGCTGGAGGACATAGGGACCCCTTTTTCATCATTCTGCTTCATTCTATCTCTATTCTCCCACTCTGCAGAATCTGTTAGTTCAATTTCTAACGTCTGTAATGGGACCTGGCTCAGAGCTCATCTGCCTGGGTGTGTGTTTCCTGGACGGGGCCGCCTTTTACAGTTGTCTTTTGCATCTACAGGTGCTGGTCATAAAATTAGAATATCATGAAAAAGTAGATTGATTTCAGTAATTCCATTTAAAAAGTGAAACTTGTATATTATATTCATACATTACATACAAACTCATATATTTCAGATGTTTATTTTGTTTAATTTTGATGATTACAAATGACAACAAATGAAAATCTCAAATTCATCATATCAGAAAATTAGAATATTACTGAAGACCAATAAAAACAAAGGATTTATAGAAATGTTGGCCAACTGAAAAGTATGAACATGAAAAGTATGAGCATGTACAGCACTCAGTATTTAGTTGGGCCTCCTTTGGCCTGTATTACTGCAGCAATGCGGCGTGGCATGGAGTCGATCAGTCTGTGGCACTGCTCAGGTGTTATGATAGCCCAGGTTGCTCTAATAGTGGCTTTTAGCTCTTCTGAATTGTTGGGTCTGGTGTATTGCATCTTCTTCTTCACAATACCCCATAGATTTTCTATGGGGTTAAGGTCGGGAGAGTTTGCTGGCCAATTAAGAACAGGGATACCATGGTCCTTCAACCAGGTACTGGTAGCTTTGGCACTGTGTGCAGGTGCCAAGTCCTGTTGGAAAATGAAATCTGCATCTCCAAAAAGTTGGTCAGCTGCAGGAAGCATGAAGTGCTCTAAAACTTCCTGGTATGTGGCTGCGTTGACCCTGGACCTCAGAAAACACAATGGACCAACACCAGCAGATGACATGGCACCCCAAACCATCACTGACTGTGGAAACTTTACACTGGACTTCAAGCAACGTGGATGAAGTGCCTCTCTTCTTTTCCTCCAGACTCTGGGACCTTGATTTCCAAAGGAAATGCAAAATTTACTTTCATCAGAGAACATGACTTTGGACCACTCACCAGCAGTCCAGTCCTGTTTCTCTTTAGCCCAGGCAAGACGCTTCTGACGCTGTCTGTGGTTCAAGAGTGGCTTGACACAAGGAATGCGACAGCAGAAACCCATGTCTTTCATACGTCTGTGTGTGGTGGTTCTTGAAGCACTCACTCCAGCTGCAGTCCACTCTTTGTGAATCTCCCCCACATTTTTGAATGGGTTTTGTTTCACAATCCTCTCCAGGGTGCGGTTATCTCTCTTGCTTGTACACTTTTTTCGACCACATCTTTTCCTTCCCTTCGCCTCTCTATTAATGTGCTTGGACACTGAGCTCTGTGAACAGCCAGCCTCTTTAGCGATGACCTTTTGTCTCTTGCCCTCCTTGTGCAAGGTGTCGATGGTCGTCTTTTGGACAACTGTCAAGTCAGCAGTCTTCCCCATGATTGTGTAGCCTATAGAACTAGACTGAAAGACCATTTAAAGGCTTTTGCAGGTGGTTTGAGTTAATTAGCTGATTAGAGTGTGGCACCAGGGGCCATCAATTTTGAACCTTTTCACAATATTCTAATTTTCTGATATGATGAATTTGAGATTTTCATTTGTTGTCATTTGTAATCATCAAAATTAAACAAAATAAACATCTGAAATATATGAGTTTGTATGTAATGTATGAATATAATATACAAGTTTCACTTTTTAAATGGAATTACTGAAATCAATCTACTTTTTCATGATATTCTAATTTTATGACCAGCACCTGTATGCTTCTTTTTCTATGTCTGCTTCTGTCTCCTTGAACCCCAGTGGGCCTCAGCAGATGGCCGCTCACACTGAGCCTGGTTCTGCTGGAGGTTTCTTCCTGTTCAAAGGGAGTTTTTCCTCTCCACTGTCGCTACAAGCATGCTTAGTGTGAGGGATTGCTGAAGAGTCAATGAGTCGATGCAATCAGCTGGTTTTCCTTAGATAGAAAACTTTGAATCAATCTGACTGGATGATTTGGAGAACTGCAAAGATGACATGCATGGAGAATTGGCGCTATAGAAATAAACTGAATTGAATCCAATAAAAATAATCAAAGGATTTCTACATTATTTTCAACCTAAGTTATATTATTTTTGATTAATTCAAACAGGGATTTTACACAAAGTGACAGGTCCAGGAGGAAGTCGGCACCCCTGAAAGATGATCATCTGCTCACCGCTGGATGGTTTAACGTGTGGCCACAGGGTCAAGTAATAATTACAGTTGGAAACTTTGAACCTTTGAACTTTGGGCTACCGTTCCAGGGTACAGTAGGCCTACATTTCGCAGCAAAAAGAACAGTCTCTTCACAGTAAAACATGGTGGCGGCAGCATCATGATGTGGGGTTGCCTTTCTTCAGGGCATTTTTTTGTTTGTTTTTTGTCAAAGAAACCATTTTTGTTTTTGCCTGGGTAGTTGACATTTTTATTTTTCCAGAATAAACTGAGAATACATTCTGTAGACTTAGATGTATTTTGTCATTTTGTATACATGAGTGTAAACAGACGAGGGACGCTGATGGATGTTTGGCAAAGAGGCTAAAGCTGGACCAGGAAGTGATTGCTGGTTTAAAGGGCGGCTGTGACTGCTTCACTGCAAAAACGATCCAGAAATAATTTAAAATGTCTTAAATTTAGTCTATATACCCTTAATTTGAGTAGGTATATAAGTTTATTTGCCAATGGAATCAGTATATTTTTACTCTGAAAATAAGATAATTAGATAATATGCACTTGAAAAAAGACAATTAATTTTTTTTCTTATTTTAAATGTAAATTGTCTTGTTCCATTGGCAAAGTGTCTCACTTACCACCTCAGTTCAAGAAAAAGTGTGCTTGTTATAGGAAAAAATTACTTATTTAGATTTACATTTTTTGTAGTGTTCCTAGAATAAATGCCGCATTAGATGTTAAAAGATCTTTAATGCTAATTGTTGTGGCATCATTTATACATCACAGAGAAGTTTTAATGAACAGAACACTGCAAAAATTTTAAATCTAAAAAGTAATTTCTTCTAAAAAGTGCATTTGTACTTGAAAAGAGGAGGTATACCAAACAAGACAATTTAAATCTAAAATAAGAAAAAAACAACTGCATTGTCTTATATCAAGTGCATAATATCTAATTATCGTATTTTAGGAGTAAAAATACTCATTCTATTAGCAAATTATCTCATTTACCTACTCAAATTAAGGTTGAAAACACAAATTTTAAGAATTATTACTTATTTCTAGATTGTTTTTGCAGTGAAGTCTGTTGAAAAGATCTGGATCACTGGAAAAACAATCTAGAAATAAGTGAAAATATCTTAAATTAAGTGTATTTACCCTTGATTTAAGTAGGTAAATGGGATAGTTTGCCAATGGAATCAGTATTTTTACTCTTAAAATAAGATAATTAGATAATATTTACTTAAATAAGACAATGCATTTGTGTTTTCCTATTCTAAATCTAAATTTCTTGTTCCATTGTCAAGATGTATCTTTTGTCCCCTCAATTCAAGAACAAATGCACTTATTTTAAGAAAAAAAATGACTTATCAAGATTTAGATATTTTGCAGTGATCTGTTTCTGGTGTGGCGTCATCAAACTGGAGGTGTGCATTTATTTGACCAAGTGTTGCTTTTAGAAATAATTTCCATCAACAAACATTGTTCCAAAGTTTTATTAATGGAGGTTTGTATCCAAAATGATGCATAATAAATGTGCAACAGGATAAAAAAGCAGGACATTTAGCAGCTTTTTCTGATTTGACAGCAAACAACATCAAAGAAAATCCTCTTATCTGTTTAAGAATGTTTTTAACATTAAATTTAAAACAATTCATAAGTTGTATGCATTGAAAAAAATATATATCTGAAAACTGTTTTTTAAACAAAGTTAGAAAAAGGATGTTAAACAGAATTCAAGAATAAAAACATATTTCTGTTAAATCAATAATCATCTTTTTAAGACAAAAATAACATGACATGTGAAGAAAGCTTATTAGAACCAAGGAAGTAGAAATATACCTGAAAATATATCAGTTGTTAGGTTGTTGCTGTCAATTTAGTTCATCCATCTTGTAAAGATATTTTTATTTAATTATTTTCTTCCTCCTTCAGCTCTCATTCCCTTCATTTGCCTCAGCTGTTTTCCATTTCCTCCTCCAGTAACTCCTGACTGCATCGCCGCCTTCCTGCCTTCTTCGCCGGTATAGAAGCAGTCTGGCTGCCATTTTATTTGCTGGTTCCTTTCATAATTCTCAGGTCTTTGTGTCCTCATGTCTGCCTAAGTCTGATTCTTCATTTAATCCAAGTTCCTGTTAGCATTTTGGTTCTACCTCTGTATCTGAATCTCTGAGGGTCTCAGGCTTCACTTTGTAACCGGCATCATCTAAATGAACTAATCTTCTTTTCCCTTTAGATCATTAACAAACACATGTTCCACTTTTTTATTTCAACGGCTCTGTGTCCTGGTTCTGCTGGAGGTTTCTTCCTGTTCAAAGGGAGTTTTTCCTCTCCACTGTCGCTACAAGCATGCTTAGTGTGAGGGATTGCTGAAGAGTCAATGAGTCGATCAGCTGGTTTTCCTTAGATAGAAAACTTTGAATCAATCTGACTGGATGATCTGGTGAACTGGAAAGTGACCTGAGATGACATGATGTGAATTGGAGCTATAGAAATAAACTGAATTTAACTGAATCTGTGAAACAATCAGAGGTTTTATTTTCACCAGTGGAAAAACGTTCTGCTCAGATTGTCCCAACAAATCCACAGCAAGGTCAGAGTGCTGACACAGAATCCAAGAGCTCCGCCTGAGACTCTACAGGCCTAAGTGAGGCGTTGGAGGGCAAAGGTCACATGACGACCAGAGGAAGTACTCGCCACACTTGTGCTGAGGTTTTTTTTTTATATTTCAAACTGTGCAGGATAAAGTGTAAAATCCGCAATGTGGCTCCTATCTTTCCACAGAGATAAAGGCAGCGCTATAGGGAACCGCCTACGGACTGGAGCTCTGGGCAGCTGTAATAACGAGCCAAAGGCAGCGTTTTCCGGCAGGGATGGCCTCAGAAAACCATTCCCACTTCTCCCTCACACTAAGCATGCCTGTAGCGACAGTGGAGAGGAAAAACTCCCTTTGAACAGGAAGAAACCTCCAGCAGAACCAGGCTCAGTGTGAGCGGCCATCTGCTGAGGCCCACTGGGGTTCAAGGAGACAGAAGCAGACATAGAAAAAGAAGCATAGATACAAAAGGCAACTGTCAACCAGCTCCACAGGCGGCCCCGTCCAGGAAACACACAGCCAGGCAGACGAGCTCCGAGCCAGCTCCCATGTCAGAGGATGAAGAGAGCACATCCAGTTAGTCACAGTCGGAGAAACAGGACTACACTGGAAAACAGGCCAAGCTCCAAGAAACAAAGGTGTTGATGGCAGCAGCATAGCTGATATTTCTCTCCAGGATGGAGTCACAGCCAAACAGAAACAGACGAGACGAGCAGCAGCAGATTTATGCATTAAAGACAATAGACTCTAGGTGCTGTAATGGCCTAGGCCAGGCGCGCCCAAAGTCAGTTCTCGAAGGCCGCTGTCCTGCAGTTTTATGAGGTTTCTTTGCTCCAGCACAGCTGGTTTTCATTGATACAGTTATCATTGGCTGGACTGCAATCATCAGAATCAGCTTTGCTAAAGCAGGAAAACCTCTAAAACCTGCAGGACAGCAGCCCTCTAGAACAGACTTGGGCCATACCTGGCCTAGTCAAAGTCCTGACTGAGCTTTTAGGTCATTTCCTCCACAATGGACACATATGAGACCCTGGCAGGCAAGCAACTGCTCCTCATGATCTGGTCCATAAATGATCAAAGAATTGTGAACAACTGTAAGAAATTCCTGTCACTCCAGGATGAGGCGAAGGAGCTTTGAAAATATTGAAAAAAAACTCTATGGTGCTGTAAGCTTGCGGTCTGTCTCCTTAATGGCCAGGATATCGGGTACAGTAAGGAAAAAGCTGCAGGGAGTGGAATGGAATGCTGCATAAGCCATTCTTCCTACGGCAGGCCTTGGTCCTGAACGCTGCCGTGTCTTCATAAAGTCCCAAACCCAGTCTTCCCCACCTCTCAACCCCATTTCCTGTCAGCTGACCTAAAAAATAAAGCCCACCAACACTAACACCATCTTTAAAAAAAGGTTTGAGTGTAAGCTAATGTCTGCCAATCTAAAGCATCATTAGAGATGAAGTGGAATTTAGTTTGTGCAGGATTTACATAAACAGTATGCGCCTTTGAAGAGGTGATGCTGTCCTATTTCTAACACTGGTATTTAACCCTGTTTATTAAAACCTCATGGTAACTTGCTGTATTTGTGCTTCTCCATTTGCAGGGCAGCGAGCAGAATGTGAGCGTTTGGCCCAGACTTTATGCATCTAGGTTTTTAGAAGAGATGTCGTCGCTTCCTGGTAACCTTGAAGAAATAAAGAATAAAGAAAAGAAAGGATTCATCATTAGACTGTAAAATGAACTCTAAGAGCAGGAATCTATATCTGGAGAACAGAAGCAGGGTTAAATGTGTGCAGTGAGGAGGAAGTGACCTAAACGTCTGCTCTACTTTGTGTTTGTCACTGTGAAGCAGAAATTCTTCAAATTGTTGCATGTTTTTAATAAACATGAAGAAACCAGTAAGCTTATTTCTGCTGCCACCTTTAGGTTCGTGGTAGGAACCGCAGGTTGATGGGTTCTGAAGGGATGAGCAGAGTTCGTGTTTTGGGCTCCACGACCGGCGCTCCGTCTTCCGGCTCCACCTTATAACGCTGGATCAGCTGCAGGAAGACACAGACGGTCAGAGCTCTGGAGCATCTCCGCTGCGCTCTGGGTCTCCGTCACTCACCCTGGACAGAGCGAAGTGCATCTCCATCTCTGCCAGCCTCTTCCCCACGCAGCCCCGCACGCCCACTCCAAACGGGATGAAGCTGTAGGGGTGGTGCTGGTAGAAGCCCGGATTGGCTCTGCCGGCGTGTCTGCTGGGAGGCTCCACATTCAGCCAGCGCTCCGGGATGAAATCCTCCGCTTTGGTAAACTCGGCTTCATCGTGGGCGGCTGCATAGTGACACAGGTGGAACTGGGTCTGCAGACAAACAGGAATAAAGATTATCTACAGAGAGAACCAGCTGAAGTCTTTACATTTACTCATTAGCTGGAGAAATCTGTGTCGCTACCTTCTTGGGGAACCAGTAGTTGTCCACCACCACCTCATTCTCTGAAACGAAGCGCCCGTTTCCGTGCACCACAGGATACAGGCTGAGGAACAAGGAGACTTTTAGAATGTCTTAGAGCTGAAAGGATGAGCAAGACTGATGAAAAACAGCTGCTCAGAGGGGCCACCGCAGCACAGAGGGAACAGGAAACAGTTGCTGTACCTCACGTTAGAGAGCAGACCTGCGGCTCTGATATGACAAAACATGCAGTGCAGACAGCTGAACGTTGAGAAATGAAGTTACTAAACTCCAGAAAAACACAACTTCTCCCATCTTTCTCTGCAGATTTTAAAATAAATCCTCCCAGTCAATATGGAGAACACCTTCACGATGAACAGAGAAGTCAAAGGTTACGTTGAAATATGGCATCGGTTTTAACTGGACAGAAACAGAAATTAAAAACCTCCTGCTCATCTAAAGATGATAAAGAAGAAACATTTCAGGAAAACAACAGATTAAGAAGAGTTGTTTTTTCATTATAAATTATAAATAAACTAAGGAAAACTGGATTGCTGCATCAAACACGGAGGTGGCTGTATCATGGTAACCCAAAAATAAAATAAAAACCCAGTATTTGCTTCTACAAACAGGATCAAACTTTTTCATTCAGTCTCATAAAACCCAAAATGATCCCGATGGTTTTATTTCATGCATTTAATCTAAACGAGAGAAAAACACACAAGTGCCAACTTGAGCTTGCAGTTGAGGCTTTGGTTAGATGTGGATCAGGCTTTGATTGAGCAAGCAGGAAGGCAGGAACCGGTCCAGAACATTCCAGCTGAATGTTTGTAGCTGCTTCAGTAACCGTGGAGGAAGATAAGAACAGAAACAACAGTTTCTCCTCGTCAAACAACCGCGACTGTTTTAGACCAGAAACTTATCAGGTTTTCTTTGATAACCAGCTGGGTTTCATGTTTTTATCTGAAATGGGTCATAAAAAGGGACAAAAAACTCCTTTAAAACATTATTTACTTCCTGGTTTTAGATGATTGAGGCAAAACGTCAAGTTTAACTATAACAGATTAGAACTTCAGCTGCATTGTTTCAGAATAAAAAGATTATTATTGAAAATAACGATATTATTCCTACATAATAAATGCACGGAGGCTGAAAAGTCCAGCTGCTTCCAGTTGGAATCATGGAAGCTGCAGTGATGATTGTGATCCCAGATTCGGAGTCGCTGTGGTTGAAACCTGAGATGCGGTCTCTCTAGACCAGAGGTCACGGATTAGCGGACCGTGGTCTGGATCCAGACCCAACCTGATTTAAAACATTTATAAATTACCGCATGTTGTCCAGCGACAGTGTCTAACTTCACTTGCTCCTCTTCTCCTGTTAATACGGTAAAGCCCTGGGGAGCGTCCGGCTCCAGGCTGCACGTGATCCAAATGAGCCAATGAGCTGTCAGTCTGGGTTGCTGCTGCTGCTGCTTTTAGACACAGCAGGCAAACCTGTGGCAAGCCGGGCGATGGGAAAGAAGGAGAAGACCATGAGAAAAAGAGAGCAGAGAAAGTGTGGACTGCTGGAAGAACTGCAGTGAACTGGTGAAAGAAAAGTGAAATGGCGTGCTCAAAGATGACCCTGCACATTTAGAGGATGTTTGGCTCAACCTGCTGCTGTGAAGCAGGATTCTCCACCATGAACAGAATCAACAATAAATCTGGATCCAGGCTCAAAATGAGCTCCTTGATATGTGCTTGAGAATGGCTTAGTCTCCATTCAAACCCAGGTTTAAAGCCTTGCAGGGCAGCCTAAAGCCCACTGCTCTCACTGACCCTTTATAGGGGAAGTTACCGTTTCTGATCCCTTGCAAACCTCTTACAAATGGAGTCACCGCCCCCGTCCCACAGTGAGGTCTAGAAACACAAGATCTATATCCAGCCATTCAGCAAATATCCTGCTACATGGCTGTACATCTTATTTTTGCATTTGACCAATTAGATGAGCCCTTGAATGATATATTACCGACTGGAAATTAAGTTGGAAACTAATAGAAAAGTTAAAAAGTAAAGTTAATAAGCCTAGTTATTCTATTTAGGTTTATAAACTAAAAAAATGTAAGTGCCAGTATCATCATTAATGCCTCCAAGATTATGCTGGACCAAAAAAATGTGTTTCCTTCACTGTCAGAGTGTTTTTCATGTTTTTCTTAATATATTCGGGCAAGTTTTAATTTTTTCCATCAAAATATCCATATTTTTTTTATGTTACAAAGGTAATAAAATCTTTTCCTTGATTCCAATCGGCTTGGAATTTTGATGTGATTTTGAGTGAAAGAAATAAAGATAAAAACGGTCAGTTCTGGTGTTTTATAAAACATCTAATTCAGGAAATTGTCTATATACCAAACTGAACGATTGTTGTTCTCTACTTCAAAAAATCACTTTAGATTTTAAAATGGCAAAATATATATATTTTTTTTTAATTCAAGGTATAACATGGATGCATAAAAATCTGCTTTTTATTTGAGTTTTAAATTCAGTTTAAAGTAACGGATTATGATTAAAAATGTCTCCGTACCTTTACTGTTTGTTGATTTTCTTTATTCAGACCACACTGATTTTTAATTGGTTAACTGATTTAGATGCTAAACAAAGTAAAACCTGTATCTCTGGGTGTTTTTGAAACGGTATTCATTCATGTAGACATAAATAAAAAGCAGAACCAGCCTCAGTTTCCTTATGTTATAGTTTATCAGAAATGCTCCCATGATTGGTTGAGGGTGAGCAGAAGCTTCTGTGATACGTCCTGACTAAACTGTTCCACGGCGGTGAGCAGAATAACCTCTTTCTCTAAGGAATCTGGGTGTTTTTAGTCTTTCTTCTTAAGGACCCACTCAGTGAGGGCGGGTCTGGGTGCAGCACTTCTGTGCCTGATTATCCCGTCCCACTGCCTGCAGGTAAAGAGCTGTCTGATGGTTCCTCCTCATCTCGTAACCGATCAAGTCGACTCTTTACTAGAATTTTTGGCCACATACATGCAAACATAAGTAGCTGTAGCTGTTTAACCCTATAGATACTAACCAGTTGTGGACAACCTGTAGTAAAGCAGCTAATTAGCAAAAATAATAAATGTTTCTTTTCTGTTTTCCAAACTTTTCATTTTGAATAAAATGGGAGCAGCAGAGAAAAAGAAGATGATGGGATCTCAGCTTGTTGGCCTGGTTTGCCCTTTAACTGGATGTGAGCCATGGCTTCATGCTTCTCTGAACCAACCTGACCACTTTTCAGTCCTCTCACCGTAACGTCTCCTTAATGACGGCCTTCAGGTACGGCATCCTGCTCAGGTCGCCCGTGGTCGGCTGCTGCTCGTCAGGACAGACAGACTCTACTTCTCTGTGCAGGCGCTCCTGAACCCTGCGGTCTCTCGCTAGATGGTACAACGCCCAGGACAGGGTGTTAGATGTCTGGGGGGGGGGGGGAAAACACTCCCATGAATCACATCTAAAGGATCATAAATAACATGATGTCATCAAGTCTTTACAAACGTGCTGTAAAAGGAATTCCACCTGGAGCTATTTTAGGGTTCCATTCTTTTCATTCTCCTGCTGCTGGAAAGCTTAATTCTGCATAAGGAAATGATCTGGAGGAATTTACTTTAAACCCTACAAGCACAAAGTGTTTGTTTTTCTGCTTAAAAGCTTTATGCTGTGGAATCCCTTCAGATGAGAATCAAGGATGATCCAGTTGAATATCTGCTGCATGTCTGGGATGATCCCTATCTCTTGGAGCCAGAACCCCTCAGGCTGAAGCATGAAAGCAGACGGACGGGTTGGGTGACACTCCGGCTCGGTCTGCAGTCCGTCTGAGCCACTCTGCAGCTCGTGGAGCGGCGGTTTGTCGTCACTCTAACATAACGTGCTTTCTTTGTTTCGTCGTCTCTGTCAGGTCTGGGCATGTGTTTTATTTTTACAACAGCAATGAGCCGAGGAGCAGCGAAGTGAAATGCTTTAGTTCTGACTCATCCAGACATCGGTCGCAGGTAAACACGGAGCTGATTGGTGGTGAAGACAAAGAGCTGTGATTCAGCTCCACACCGATCACTGATGAGTGACATTCTTACATGTAGCTGTCAGTGGCGGCTGGTGAAAAATATTTTTGGTGGGGCTGATATAGCCTAGTGTATGTCTCCAACTAATCCGGAATAAGAATTCAAATAAACAATTGGACAATACATACAATTTAACAGTAATGGTTTAATTTACTATATAATAACAGTAACAGTGATGATTTGGGTCACTGTGACGGGGTTCTTTGGCCTCCAAGAATCCAGGCTCAGTCGGGTTACCGGTGTTGGTGATTTATTGTGCTCAAAAGCTCAAAACAGGGTGCAAAAGAAACTAAACATATAGAAGATCCTCTGGGCCTCAGCCTCCCTCCAGTTATCAGCAATGTAACAAAGAAACAGAAAACAAAAATGGCCGCTTTTCTTCCCACAGCCCTCATTAAATAGTTTAAGCCCCTCCCCTCAGGCCCTCTTATTTCTGATTTCTTCTCATTAATCAGTTTTGTCCATCTATTACCTCCACAAACAATTGATGTACAAAAACAAATAATTTTTACAACTTAATTCCTTTACACAGATTCATTGACTTATTCAATTACACCAAACTGGGTTTGAACCCAGCAAAGACGCCGCCAGAGTGAAGATGGACATTCTTTTAAGGACCAGAATGTTCACAATTTGAACAAAGAAGACAGTTGGTTTGAAAGGGGTGTGAAGGAAGTCATCTATGTAACCAACCTTAAACAGGGGGGGGGGGCTCAGATTTCATCTCTCAAAAACCTACAATGCAGCGATAGAGTTGATTCCTTCACGCTATCATCGCAACCCCGACCTCTTTATAGGGGAATATAAGACCTCACCTGTTCAGCCAGGCCAACAATTCCCTTTAACGACCCCCTTTAAGAGACATAGACAGGTATGGGGCATTGCAGGCTAACAAAGAAGCCAAACGACCCCTATTCCAAAGGGATGCACCCATTTGTCCGCTTCAATTTGCATATTTTCTAAGCGAATGTTTCCAATGGTCAATTCCTTTGAGTCAGTTAGTCCGGGCTGAACAGAACACCTCTGATGTCATCAGCCTAAGCACACGCTTTCCCTTTAGGGCTGCATCTTGAGCCCCCTGCTGTTCGCCCTGATGACACATGACTGGTTCACCATCAATCACATGGTGAAATTTGCAGACGACCCCATGGTAGTAGGCCTCTTAGAGAGATGAAAACGACCAGAACTACTGAAAGGAGGTGGAGCAGCTGGTGGGCTCGTGCAGAGATAGCCTGATCCTGAAGGTGGAGAAGACCAAGGAGATCATGGTGGACTTCAGGAAGAACTGGCCTAACCACGCTCCACTGCTCATCAACAGCTCAGCTGTAGAGGTGGTCAGCAGCACCAAATTCCTGGGGGTGCACATCACAGACACCCTCACCTGATCATGATTATGTGCATGTACTTCTTGCGGAGGATGAGGAGAGCCCACCTGGCCCCACCCATCCTCACCGCCTTCTCCAGAAGCACCATAGAGAGCGTTCTGAGCAGTTGTCTCACTGTGTGCTGTGGAGGCTGCAGCGCCTAAGACTGGAAAAAGGTGGGAAGGGTAGTGAGAACAGCTCTTCTTGCCTCCATTAAAGACATTTCATCCCAGCAGTGCATGTCCTGAGCCCATGACATCATCAATGAATGTTGAAAATGTTGAAAAATGTTGAAAAAAACTCTAAATCATGTCACAGACTCTGCATCACTCTGATATCACCAAACAAAAACACTGCATAACTGCACCATATATAGTTAATGCTCTGAACTTCCATATCAATGCGTTTTTTTGGACCATGTTTTTTGTCCCGCAATGTTTACATCTGATAACCGCTGCACTTTAAGAAACGGAAATGTCGTGAGAGCTGTACAAAACGAAATTTCGCTTGGTGTACACTGTGTATACAAACTGACCATAAATGTTGTCTAAGTCATTATTTAAAAAAAGACGCCATTTCAACAGCTTTCCTGGTTGTTTTCATAGAGCAACAGAACCTCTACATCAAAACAGAAGAGAAGTAGGTTGGTGTTCTAGGTAAGAGTTGCACTAACAATATGAAATAAGAATCAGACTGCTCAGAGCGCATCCTTCCTCATAAAGAAAAAACTGAAGAGGACCTTGGGTTTCGTTTCTTCCTCTGCCTTTGCTTCACATCTTACAGCCAACTGCTAACAAAGAAAGTAGGAATGTGGCCTCCTCACCGTGTCGACCCCTCCCAGCATCAGCTCCGTCACACTGATGTAGATTTCAGCTCGGCTCAGCTTGTCGGATGACAGCAGGTATGTCAGGTACATGCCCTCTGCAGGCTCCCCGCTGCACATCTGAGCTTTCAGTTCAGCCGTTCTTCTGTCCACCAGTTTCTGAGCTGCAGAGCCGAGGACGGCGTTACTGAGACCAACCTAAAGGACTCTTCCATTTGTGCAGTGACATACCTACATCGTAAAGGTCGTCCCAGGCCTGGACGAAGCGCTTCCAGAAGGGGAGGATGCTGCGGCTCCAGCATGGCATCAGGATAACAATGTCAGACAGCGTCAGCATGTTGTTGACAGCAGCTATGAAGCGCAGCGTGTCTTCGGGGATCTCCTCCTGCAGGCAGCCCAGCCTGGTCTCAAACAGGACAGCAGAAATACCTGCAGGGTGGAGGAGTCACAACCTGCTCCACCTTCATCATCTGAAAGTCTGGACCTGCAGCAACTCCCACCTTCAAAGCCAAACTTGTAGAGCTCAGCTGCCAGATTACGAACTGTGGCCCGGTCTGGACTGCGACTGCGAAGAAGCTCCACCCGTCCCAGCAGGTCTCCCACCACCTGGTGGATGACGGGGGCGTAGGCTGAAACCTCCTGCAGCTTCAGCATCTTGGGGTTCAGGACGCTGCGGATCCGGTACCACTCTGGCCCTGTCCTGCACAATCACAGGAAACTGTTGGAGTTTCTCTGGATCAGACGGTTAGGAGAAGTTCAAATAAACACCAGATGGATCAGGAAACCACATCTAAAAAGGTTAAAGGGATTCTAAAGATACACAACCACTTATTTTTAAATCTTAATGTTTAGGAGAATTAAACCAGAGATGAAGAACTGAATCAGTCTTTCAGATCAGAGGTGAAACATCTTCTGTCATCTATCTATCAATGACCGTGGCGTCCTGGACGTCTAAGAATCGACACCCTGGATCGACCTAAATGCTCCAAACTCACTCCACATGCAGGCCGTACGCCTGTCCCCTCAGGTCCCGGTACTCCTTCCAGTGAGGCAGTTCGATTCGAATCGGGTAGCGGCCTTCCTGCTGGATCACCTGAGCTATGAGCTCTGGAGACGCTACGTTGACCATGTCGAAGGGACCGAACCTGGAGCGCCAGATGGGCCCATACAGTCTCTTCTGTAAACACTGGAGAAAAGATGGCTGGCTGTTAAAACGCTTTTAAAGTCACATCCGTCCGTTTTCCAAACATGCCTGTTCCTTCCAGAACCATGAAGCTCACAGATCCAACTGTTGATTCTGGTATCAGTTCTGCTGTTTTAGCTAATTTTATGATGCAATTACTCAGTTTTCATTCCTGTGTATTTGAACAACCACTACAGGGTGCTACCTCTGCTGGTGGGGAGACATATCATGTTCACTTCCCCTTTTGACTGCTAAGTGTTATGTTGCTGTTCAGGCTATCTCTGAATTAAGCTCTTTTTTCTGTGATATGTCTGTATCTAAGTAACTCTACCTGCAGAAGCACATTAAAACACAGCGCCTTCTGCTGCACTTTTCTAATGAGCGCTGTTCACTTTCACATGGTTTTATTTCTGGTAGTAAGGAGTGGCTAGCATAGGCTAGGGCTTACTCTGAATTTTTAGATAGGTTTTCTGAGTTCTTATCTGATTTGGTGTTGAATATTGACATAGTGGGGGATTTTAACATCCATGCTAATATTGATATTGAAGGTGATAGCTTAAGTGCAGCATTTAATCCGATTTTAGGATTAAATGGCTTTGTTCAAAATGTGAATAGTCCCACACATTCTCATCTTCATACTTTGGATCTTGTTCTGACATATGGCTTTGAAAGTGAAGAAATAACAATATTTCCACACAACCCTGTCCTCTCTGACCATTTTTAATTACCTTCAGGATTACTTTAATAGAGTTCCCCTCCCCAAAAGAATGGTTCACCTCTGCAGATCATTATCAAATAGTGGAGTTATATATTTTAAAGAATCTGTTTCACTTTCTCTTTCCTCTGTGTCGCTGAGCAGTGCTGCAGAGGGCAAAAGTTAATTTTATTCCCCTTCACCGGTTGATGATTTTGTTGATGAGGTTGCTAGTTCTCTGTGTACTGCCTTAGACAATGAAGCCCCTTTGAAAAAGGAAAAACTTGTCTGCTTCTGTCTCCTTGAACCCCAGTCGGCCTCAGCAGATGGCCGCTCACCCTGAGTCTGGTTCTGCTGGAGGTTTCTTCCTGTTAAAAGGGAGTTTTTCCTCTCCACTGTCGCTACAAGCATGCTTAGTGTGAGGGATTGCCTTTGAGTCAATGGGTCGATGAAATCAACTGGTTTTCCTTAGATAAAAAACTTTGAATCAATCTGACTGGATGATCTGGTGAACTGGAAAGTGCCTTGAGATGATATGTGTTGTGATTTGGCCCTATAGAAATAAACTGAATAGAATTGAACTAAGACTCAGTTCAATTTAGTTTGTTTATATTCAATATTTTTGTAATTTTTGTCCTGAATTTTAACTAAATAAATACATATATTTTTTATTTTATAAAAGTCTAAACCTTTTGTGTAAACTTGATAAATAAATTTGATTCTGATTCATATGTACAAATAAAACATTATTTTGAAGAAGTTATTGATTATTTTGTGAATTTTATTTTCCCTCTCATTAGACCATTTGGTTTTATTAAATTATTTGCCTTATTCATTCTTCTACAGTATTTACAATAGCATGTTATCGTTTTAATTGTTAACATAATATATATGTTAATAGAGATATTAGATATTACTAATATCTCTTGGTGATAGATGTAAAAACAAAATACTTTAGATAAAAAATAAATAAAATGTATTATTTGAAACTGGACCTTTAGATCAATACAGATAAAGGAGCTAAACTTCCCAGCAGCTGCTTCCTGTAATGAAACTTTGTGTTCAACAGCAGCAGGTTACATCATCACACTTGTTGATGCATTCAGCAGAAACTTCAGCAATAAATGATGCAAACAGCTCAGACTCAGTGTTTGTCTTCGGTACCTGCAGTAAGTGGCCCCTGTCAGCGTATCCTTTAACAAACAGCCAGTACAGAGTGGTGGACCAGCTGGGCCCCGGCAGGTCAGCGGCTGTCTTCAGCTTCCCCTCCTGCCTACTGGCCGCTGGGACGTTCAGGTTCCTCCTGCTCCAGACTGCGGAGGAGGCCTCGGGTCGCAGTGCTCTCAGTGTCCGGGTGGAGAGCGCAGGGAGGCGGAGAGGCCAGGCTAGAGCTGAGCGGCAGCCCATGGTTCAGACTGACAGCACCGACTGCTGATGGAGGATTAAACTATGGGGCGATGCAGCTCTTTGGGACAGGTGGAACATTGTTTGGCGCCCCCTGCAGGTTGATACTTTGGTAGCTTCAAACAATGACAGCGCTGTGTTCAATAATAGACAAAAAGATTACACTGTTTATCATCAAATCATCTTTTTCATCACAATTTCATAACTTTAAACAGTGAATTAAATATGACATCAAATCAGTGAGTTACATTTAAGAAGCTAACATGATATTAGAATAAGATTCACCTTAAATGAATAACTAAATAAATAAATTAGCAAATCTCTTGATAAATAACAAGATTGTTTTGAATTAATGAGAGACAATACAAAAAATTTACAAAATAAGTGCTTAAGCAGTGCTTAAATGCTTAAGCATTCCCACTTGATAATTTGATGTCTAATTATTTTTCCTTTTATAGATCAGTCTTTTATTTAATAAAGTAAATCAAAAGATGAATAGGTAAAATAAGAAGATTCTAAAAGACAAAGCTTTTAAAGCTCCTCTCTTTCTGCTCTTAATTTCATGAATATCTCAGTGTTTGGCCTCACCTTTCTATCCGTCACATTGTGTGGAAAAATATGTATTTCTGAACATTCATATTCACATATGAACATGAACATAATTACCATTCATAAACATATTTAACTGCTCTATGTTTAGTTAAATAATGTGACAATTATTTTAACCCATCTTAAAACCTTGTCGAGTAAACTACCTGAAATAATTTAATGGGAAATGTTTAGAGTTAAAATAACACACATACATGATATTAACAATGTCTATTTCACTGCAGTCTGCTCATAAACACTTAATGCTCAGTTAATAGATCAGTTTATAGTGGCTGTTTATCAGAGAGATATATGGATATATCCAACCTTTAAATGGCGCTGAGCTTTCACTGCTGCTGTTTGACTCCTATTCGGTGCAATACCGCCATCTAGTGGATGCTCACTGTTATCACACGGTCAGTCAGTGAAAGTGAAAAAGAAGAAAATTTCAGGAAATGGTCGATAGTGAAGCTGGCAGCGATCGTTGATGTCTGCGGAACAAATGTTCATACAGGTAGGATATAAATATAGTTTAATGTTTTTAGCTGCTGTTATGTGTTAAGGTTAAATCTTTTCTTTTATCTCTGAGGAATAAACTTCTTATTTTATTTCCTTTTTTATCACGGAAGGAGGTGGCGGTTACAGGTTTCCATGAAATCGAATAGAAGTTCAGTTTGGAACAAGAAAAATGTTAATTGAAACCAAGAAAGCGCCGGTTAATTAAACAGCTCATTTAAAGGGTCATAAAATAAAGCCTCCTTGTTGGAAACTTTCAAAAATCCAGAGAGGGACACCTGGAGGGGCCTCTCCACCACCAACGCCCTGTTCGCATGTAAAGTAGAAGACTATCTGCTGAGCTATGGAGCTAATATCTCTGCCTTCTGTTTGAGAGACCAGGAACCATTTCCTGCGCGCAGTGAGAAAACGCGCGTGCGCTCAAAACCGGTCTGGCGCGCGCACAACTCTTGTCGTCACTCTCAGTTCCGTCTCTGCTCCACATTCTCTCTCCACACTCATCACCAGCTGTGCGCTCGGCTGTCTCTCCGCTCGCGAATTCATAAATATATGTAAATAAACCAAATCATCAGCCAATCACGCTCAGTTTGATGAAAACCCGACTGGATAAAAGCGTCTACTAAATACATAAATACTAAAAAAAGAAAACACAATTAGGAAATCAAATAACTCTTGCAGTTATGCAGTAATTGCTCCTAAGTCGATGGGCAGCAGATAGTACTATAAAAGATGTTGGATTATCTCAAATAAATGTCAGTAAAACAGTTATTGGGTCATTGTTGCCTAGTGGTAAACTAGGGTGACCATATTTTCATTTGGGAAAACCAGGACACCTTGGAGCGGGGGTGGGGTGATATTGAAAGAACAAATGTCTCATCATCGGGATTTGCTCCGTGATCAGAGGAAATGTTACTTGGCGCAGAACAGTTGTGAAAATTAGAAGTTCAGTTTAATATAATAATACAACTCTGTGAATAGTTCCGTCTGAAATGAATGAAAATAGTTGTTTTAATGGTTATTGAGTCAGATATGTGGTGGTAATGTTTGGTTTATCTAAAGGTTTTAATCTGTTACTGTGTAAATGAGTTTGGCTGTAATTTAAGGACAGATTCTAATAGATCTGCAGAGTGGGAACTATAAATCTGATAAGATTTTAATTTTTTTATTATTGTTTTGCACAATATGCTTAACTAAGTATTTTTTGTTGTTGAATATTAGAGATTTTGCAGATATATTTTGTAGATACATTGTTTAGATTTACTAAGATATTTCTAACCCTTTTATAGAATAGAATAGAAAATCCCTTTATTGTCCCACAATGGGCAAATTTACAGCAGCAAAAAGATTATTGAAAATGGTCACACAAATGTGGACCTTAGAAAAATGTATAAGAATAACATAATAGGGAAGAGTTAAAATATAAACAATAAAATTCTGTAAAGTGTTTTAACAATATAAAACTGGAGAATAAATAACCAATATGCAGCTATGGACATTTTTACAATAATGGATATTTGAAAATAGCAGCAACATCAGAGATGTGCAGAATGACAGCAGCAGGTTATTTAACTGACTGAGGTTTCTATCATTACATTTGATTTGATTAGTTCCTGCTCCCGGTGGTTGGAACCTTTATTCCACTCTGGATTCTTGTGAGTGTAGTCTTTGTTCACTTTAACTTTTAAAAAAATAAATAAATAAACAAACAGTTTTGAAAACCTCGGTATTCATTATTTTCCTGCTTTGTGTGTCAACTTTCACGGTTGCTAAGCAACAGAGCATACGGCGGTAAAACCCGCAAAAGGGTGGACCTGTTTGAATTGACAGACAGAACTCTTCCGGCCTCCTTATTTTCAAGGACTTCGAAGGATCCAGTCTAGGTAGACCGCGTCCTTGGAGGATGCAGCCCAGGTTTTCGAACAGAGCCTCTGATTAAGAACAGGGCTGCCCGCACTGACGCGGCTCAGGGATTACGTCACACGGAGCGTCGTGCGCAGTGAAATCAGGACATTTCCTCACTTTCTAAAAAAAACCCGGGACGCCCGGGACAGGACGTGAAATACGGATATGTCCCGGGAAATACGGACGTTTGGTCACCCTAGGTAAACCCCCCTCTGACCTTTACACAGCAGCAGCTAGGTGGTGGCATTGCCATCTTTCTCCAGTAGAGAAAAAATATTTTCAAACATAGCTTTTGAAAGAAGTTTCTAGACTCAATTTTCTTGGATCACAGAAAAATAGGAATATGTCATTTTTACTGATGCGTTGTACTTCATTTAAGTTTAGTGAGACTACATGGTTAATGATTAGGTTGTCCTGTGTTCATGCATGATGGCCTAACAGAAAACTTATCTTTTAATATTTTTTTTACTCTTTCAGATCAATTAAGTTGATTTTGTCTGAAAACGGATCTCTGGAGTCATGGCTTCTACATCACAGACTGCCTTGGAATATCTGAGCAATGCCAGAGTTCACCTTGTTGGAAAATTAAGGAACCACTTAGTAATTCTTGAGAACTTGTATCAAAAAGGAGTTCTTCATGATGAAGAGGTAAACAAGATAAAGACAGAGAAAGATGACTATGATAAAAACAGAGCATTACTGGACTCAGTCATTAAAAAAGGTGAAGCATCCTGCTACCAGTTACTGAGGATTCTTTACGAGACGAGGAGGAGGACCTTAGAGAGACCAGGTAGTGATGAAACTACAGCTAAAGAGTTTAACCTGCATCAATGGATCTGCTGCTTTTCATTTAAAGAAGAAGCAGAAACTGATACAAACTACCTACAAGGTATTTAAAACTAGATTCAGTTTAATATAGATCACATTTTTATCAATGTGGTCACTCTTTTACAAAGTTATTTCATTGTTTATGGCAAAAATATTTCTTATGAGAGCAAAGAAACACATTTCATCATAAATATTGATATACTTGCTGTTACTTTTATTTCAGGGTCAAGACCATGCCACAGATATCAGTCTAAGTTGAAATCAAAAGGAAATAAGTTATCAAGAGATTTCTGGAAGGCCAGTAATAAACTTTTTCAGAACCAGAATCCTGATCTGTCGTACACTCCGCTTGTCTTAGATACAAATGATAGATGTTCTCCATCCAAAATAAAGAAATATAAAACCAAGAAAAGCAAACTGAGTCGTCCTAAAAAGTTAAGGGCTTACATTCCAGAAGACATACCAGAAATCTCCCCCACTAGACTGCTGAAAATGGATAAAGATATACTCCTGGTTGGAAAACCTGGAACTGGAAAGACGGCTCTGAGCCATGAAATGTTGAGACTGTGGTCAGAGAGAGACGACAAGGAGCTGGATTACATGTTTTACTTTGACATGAGGGAAATGACCAACATCCCACTGGACATGAGTTTGGAGGATCTTCTGTTTAATTGTTACAGTAAACCAGATGAGGGCAGAGATGAGATATTAGAGGATATAGAGAGAAACTCTGAAAATGTCACAATCATTTTAGACGGAGTCACTGATCTCTCTTCATCGGTTATGAAGAAACTTGTAGAGAAAGATCTGCTCTCTCATGCAAAAATCATCATCACCTGCAGACCAGATGATGAGGAAGATCTCTGTCTAGAAGACTGGTTCAGGGTGGAGGTGAAAGGCTTCAGTGAGGGAACAATAAAAACATATCTGTCTAAAGCACTGGGTGAAGATCATCAGGAGGTTCTGAGTAACGTGGAGCTGTTGACTCTTTCTCATGTTCCAATGTATGCTCTGATGGTGGCCGCCAGCTTTTCATCAGGTGTCTCTCTGCAGCCCAAAACTGTCACTGAAATATACATCAATATTGTTCGGTTTAGTCTCCAGATGAACAGCAACGGAACCAGGATGAAGAATCTCAATCAGTTCATCAGAACCAAGAGAGATGAAATCATGTCTCTGGCTGAAGCTGCTTTTGAAGCAACTCAAAGAAAAACTGTGAACCTGGAAGGACTTTCCTTTGAGGACAGCTGCATCCTTTCCTTCCGGAAATCACTTGATGTCAAAGTCGCTCTTACTGAAACTATGACTGTCCACGCTTTCCTCCATTACACCATGCAGGAGTTCTTTGCTGCTCTGTGGCTTTTAAAGAATCCAGAGAAGATCAGGGAGGTTTTTCAGCAGAGCCTCACTGAGGAGATGAAACACATGAAACATGTGATCCCTTTCATGTGTCAGCTGTTAAATGAGGAGAACCCCAGTTTGATGAGCTGTCTGGTTCCAGATGAAAAGCTAGTAGAAACACAGGAATGGTTCTTCAAAGAGATGATTGACACGTTTTTTCAAAAAGCTCATGACTCTGAGCTTTATGTTGACACACTGTTCTTATGCCAATGTCTGTATGAGTCCCAGAGCTCTGAAGCCTGTATCGCCTTTCTGGACAAACTGAACTTCCATCTGGACCTCAGTGGAGAGAATCTGGACCCTCATTCCTGCCAAGCTGTGGCCTTTATGGTCACTCAGTCAAAGGAAAGGAAAATAAGTCTGAACCTAAAGGATGTGACGGTATCTGAACAAGGAATGAGACAATTACTTAGATGCCTTCAACACGTTAAATGGTATGACCTAACATGTTTAGTTAATAACTGCCCAGGATTATGATATATACTGAAAATAAAAACATTGTAAATCAGTTTTGCAATGCATTGCTAATATTGGATAGTAATTTAGCTTTCTGTAAATTACAGGTGTGACTCTCTGCCTCAGCAGCTATGGAGGGTTGTCCTTCTCAGTAATGGGCAGACGGGATATAAAACATTACTGGATCTCTGTGAAAACCAGCTGCATCTTTCAGTCGTAGATAAAAAGATGCTGTTTGAAAATGCAGTGAAAGTCATGCAGAGGGAAGATGCAAAGGTCACCGTCTGCCTCCACTGGGTCCGAGGAGCTACTGTCTGCCAGAGTCTAAGTGATTGCCTGTTACAGGCTCTGCCAAAGATCAGTAATCTCAGGTAAGAAAGGTACTTCTCTACATTAGGAGTGGATTATATGACCCTGTTATAATACCATGATATATTTTACAAATCTGCTTAGATTGTGTCCATAACAAGCTTCTACATAGACTATTTAAGTTCAATCAGTTCTTTGCAACATTGGTTATATGTGGTAATATTGCAATGATGAGAATAAATTAGATATTTTGTGCTTCTCTGAACCTTCATGTATTTCATAAAAACAAACCTCAAGCTCCAAATGGCAACAACATCAACAAAATCAGCAGAAAATAAAATGTATTTGCTGATACAGTGGGGCAAAACAGTATTTAGTCAGCCACCAATAGTGCAAGTTCTCCCACTTAAAAAGATGAGAGAGGCCGGTAATTTTCATCATAGATATACCTCAACTATGAGAGACAAAATGAGAAAAAAAATCCAGAAAATCACATTGTCTGATTTTTAAAGAATTTATTTGCAAAATATGGTGGAAAATAAGTATTTGGTCAGTTACAAACAAGCAAGATTTCTGGCTCTCACAGACCTGTAACTTCTTCTGTAAGAGGCTCCTCTGTCCTCCACTCGTTACCTTCATTAATGGCACCTGTTTGAACCCGTTATCAGTATAAAAGACACCTGTCCACAACCTCAAACAGTCACACTCTAAACTCCACCATGGCCAAAACTAGAGAGCTGTCAAAGGACACCCGAAACAAAATGATAGACCTGCACCAGGCTGGGAAGTCTGAATCTGCAATAGGTAAACAGCTTGGTGTGAAGAAATCAACTGTGGGATCATTTATTAGAAAATGGAAAACATACAAGACCACTGATAATCTTCCTCCATCTGGGGCTCCACGCAAGATCTCACCCCATGGGGTCAAAATGATCACAAGAACGGTGAGTAAAAATCCCAGAACCACACGGGGGGACCTAGTGAATGACCTGCAGAGAGCTGGGACCAAAGTAACAAAGGCTACCATCAGTAACACACTACGCCGCCAGGGACTCAAATCCTGCAGTGCCAGACGTGTCCCCCTGCTTAAGGCAGTACATGTCAAGGCCCGTCTCAAGTTTGCTAGAGAGCATTTGGATGATCCAGACGATGACTGGGAGAATATCATATGGTCAGATGAAACCAAAATAGAACTTTTTGGTAAAAACTCTACTCGTCGTGTTTGGAGGAGAGAGAATGCTGAGTTGCATCCAAAGAACACCATACCTACAGTGAAGCATGGGGGTGGAAACATCATGCTTGGGGCTGTTTTTCTGCTAAGGGACCAGGACGACTGATCCGTGTGAAGGAAAGAATGAATGGAGCCATGTATCGTCAAATTTTGAGTGAAAACCTCCTTCCATCAGCAAGGGCATTGAAGATGAAACGTGGCTGGGTCTTTCAGCATGACAATGATCCCAAACACGCCGCCCGGGTAACGAAGGAGTGGCTTCGTAAGAAGCATTTCAAGGTCCTGGAGTGGCCTAGCCAGTCTCCAGATCTCAACCCCATAGAAAATCTTTGGAGGGAGTTGAAAGTCCGTGTTGCCCAGCGACAGCCCCAGAACATCACTGCTTTAGAGGAGATCTGCATGGAGGAATGGGCCAAAATACCAGCAACAGTGTGTGAAAACTTTGTGAAGACTTACAGAAAACGTTTGATCTCTGTCATTGCCAACAAAGGATATATAACAAAGTATTGAGATGAACTTTTGTCATTGACCAAATACTTATTTTCCACCATATTTTACAAATAAATTCTTTAAAAATCAGACAATGTGATTTTCTGGATTTTTTTTTTCTCATTTTGTCTCTCATAGTTGAGGTATATCTATGATGAAAATTACCGGCCTCTCTCATCTTTTTAAGAGGGAGAACTTGCACTATTGGTGGCTGACTAAATACTTTTTTGCCCCACTGTATTTCAAATTCAGAAATACTTTATTAATCCTAAATGGAAATTAAATGCTGCAGTACCTCATAGGTTCTTTTATAAACAGATGTTGATGCTGAGGGCAGGAAGGATCTTCTGTAGAAGCTAGTTTTCTCTTGTTGAGCAGTTGCTTCAGATCACTTGTGATCCTTGGTTTATTATTTGGGAAACATTTCACTGTTCTGGTAGGGATGGTGTTATCTACACAGAAGTTTATGTAGTCATTTACACACTCAGCCATTGCATTGATGTCTTTCCATGTGGCTGACACACTGCATCCCAGTCTGTAGCCTCAGAACAACCTTGCAGGGCTTCTTCAGCTTCCTCTGACCATCTCCTTACAGTTCTGTTTAATGCAGATTGTCTCTTATAAAGTGGCTTATAATCTGAGCAGAGAAAAATAAGATTGTGATCTGATTTCCCAAGGGACGGTCTTACTTCAGAGATGTAATCCTTGACATTTGCATAAAACAAAATCCAAAGTTTTGTTTTCTCTGGTAGAGCAGCTGACAAACTATCTAAAATCCTTAAGTCCCAGAGATGATAATAACTCAGATCTGAGCTACAGGATCAGTGTTTGTGTAGTGAGTCAGTAACAGCTGCTCTGATCAAACATGTTTAACATGTCATTTCTGTCACGATTTGGCTAAGGTTAGTTGACCCAAAGCAGAGGCAGAGGTGAATCTCTTGTGTATTTAATAATGAGTTAGCAGAAAACAGAGGCAGGTTATCCAAAAATCCAAAAAGAAAACAAAGTCCAAACAAACATGAAACCAGGAGTCCAAAAAAACCAATACATGAAAACTAGTCTAAACGTACCAGAAACCATGGAGACATCAGGGGAATCACAATCATAAGGAGGAAGGCACAGAGAGAAGGAGTTGGAGCATGTTTAACGAGGACCCAGCGAAGAGGAACTTCTTCTTGTCGAGTTTTATGGCGGATGGCAACAAACTGTAAGTAGCATTACCGCCACTTACTGGTATGGAGTGTGGTTCGTGATGGTTTAAATATTTATCCTGATATACATATACTCTACCCTAACTTCTTCAAAACATACATTCACACATTCACACTTAAAAATATATACATATTTGTGCACAGCTTTGTATATCATTCCTTCACTCACAAACACACTTACTATAATTAAATTCTATGAAATAATTTCGTTTTCTTTAGAAATTGAATAATTATTTGTATGTGTTTACTCCCTAAATTTTTCCTCAATATATCTAATAAATTAACCTTCTCCTTAATGTCTTCAAACTCTCTCCTCATATATCTTCTCTCCTTTTCATATTTATGACATTCTAATATAACATGTTCTATGGTTTCATATTTATCACAGTAATCACATTTGCCCGTTTTATGTTTTTGTATTTTAAAAAGTGTATAATTAAGTCCTGTATGACCAAATCTTAACCTTGTTATCATTCTTTCCTCCTTTCTATTTCTTCTTCCATTTCTTCTTTCTCCTACCATCTTCTGAATTTTTATAAAACCATCTTCCTGTTTTATCTTCATCCCACCTTTTTTGCCAAACTTCCATTAGTTTCTCTTTAATAATACTTTTTCCTTCTGATTTACTTATTTTAACTATAAAACTAATAGAATGTTTAATTGCCCTTTTTGCCATTTTATCTGCCCTCTCGTTTCCTACTACCCCAATATGTGCTGGAACCCACACAAATGTAACTATCAGCCCCATGTTTCATATTCTGAACAGTGTATGATATATTTCTAATAAAATGTCCATCCTACTATCTGTTTGGAGATTTTTTAAACTTAATAATGCAGAGCTTGAATCTGAACATATTATTGTTTTTAATGGTTTTATGTCTTCTACCCATTGTAACGCTAATAATATTGCCAACATTTCTCCTGTGTATACTGATAATCCATCTATAATTCGTTTTCCTATTTTTATATTGAATTCTGGTACTACAAATGCTATTCCTAGTTTCTCAGTTATTTTTGATGCATCAGTATAAATGTGAACATATTGATAATATTTATCTAAATATAATTGCACTGAACATCTATCTACAGCACTTGATTTATCTTGTTTCTTTTCCATTAGTGACATATCTACTGTTGCTTCTGGTAGAATCCAGGGAGGTATAATTGATATTGGTGTTGTTTGACTCATTTCTAAACTATTCATTTTAAATTTTTTTATTTTATTTTCAATTGTCCATCCAAAACTCCTCATTTCTTTCTTTTCTTTTTCCCAGCATGGATTTAAAATGTCCAAAGTTGGGTGATCCACATTATTTCCTTGTAAATTTAACCAGTAATTAATTTCTAATTTTGTTCTTCTTAAATCTAATGGCATTTCTCCCATTTCTATTTCTAATGCTGCTGTTGGTGTGGTTTTAAATGCTCCAGTACATAATCTTAGTGCCTGATGTTGGATAATGTCTAATTTAACTAAATGTGTTTTAGCTGCTGAACCGTACACTAAACAACCAAAGTCTATGTTGGATCTTATCATTCCTGAGTAAATATGTTTTAGTGATTTCCTATCTGCTCCCCAGTCACTGCCAGCCAAACATCTCAAAATATTCAAAATTTTCTTACATTTATCAACAACTTTTTGTATATGTATATGCCATTTTTATTTTTCATCAAACCATAATCCTAAAAATTTTATACACTTTACCTGCTCTAACTCTTGTTTATATAATTTTAATTTTATTTCCTTATTTATTTTTTTCTGAGTAAATAACATTACTTTCGTTTTATCAACTGAGAACTTAAATCCCCATTGCAACACCCATTTCTCTATTTCAATAATAACCTTTTGTAATTTTTTAACAATAAAATCAACATTTTTCCCTCGTTTCCAAACAGCTCCATCATCTGCAAATAGTGAACACCCCATGTCTTTTTCAATATCTTTAAATACTTCATTTATCATAATTGAGAAAAATAGTGGACAAATAATACTCCACTGTGGAGTTCCATTTTCTACTATTTATTTTCCTGAGGTAGTTTCTCCTATTCGCGAAGAGGAACAGAAGAGAGAGGGCTTTTTAAAGGAAACTGAGACAAAGAGGGGGCCAATGAGGAAACTGGGAGCAGGTGTGCAAAGAACAAGAGAGGGAAAGAGCTAGGGAAGAAGGAGAACATAAGAGGGCAGCAGAGAGCAACAAATAGAAACCTGGAAGACTGGAAATAACAACAAAATGATAATCAAATAACCAGGACTATAAAACATGGAAAAAAGAAAACTAAACAGTAGAAAACAAGGAGTAAAGTAAGACTGAATACTCAAAAGAAAAAAACAACAGAAACAGAAACCTGACAATTTCATCACATTCATGACAGACATGAACAAGATGGAGTCCATCAGTAGTGTGTGGTTGTATTGATGCAGCTCAGATCAAATCAGCTCTAAATGTTTCCTTCTTGTTTTTCCAGGTTTGATCCTCGGAGCTCATATCTTCCTGAACAAACCAGGTTCTTAGTGAATCTGTTCTGTGCAGCAGCAGAGAGAGAACAGCTGACAGGAGAGAAGATGGTGGAGCTGTTAGCATCAGTCTGTAGATATGAAACATTTATTATTTATTATGAGGATGATGATGAGGATGATGATGATGATACCATCAAATATCCCCTTCACTTCCTGCTGGATCTGTACTCCCAGATGAAGGACTGTGAGACTAAAACAGGTCTGAGTCTCCTTCCATCATTACAGTCAGTTTTCCAGTCAGCTCCTCCAGTCTGGATCATAAAGCTCTCAGAGATACAGACCTCCATCCTCCTGGAAGTGTTGAAGCTCCAATCAGAGAAGAAACCAGTGAAGCTGACAGACTGCTCACATGGAGAGAGTGAAGTGAGGAGTTTCCTACAGTGTCTGCCTTATATCTCACAGCTCAGGTACAGATACAAATACTTTGACTGTAACTGTTGAAACATTCATACATGTTCATTTTGCTTTAATATCAATAATAGTTCAGTTATTTTCCTTTATAATCAGACATGTTTAATATTCCCCACATTTTCGCTTATTGTTTATTTTAACATTATAACTTTGTCGTAGTTCAGAGGAAACATTTCTCTGTTGACAGCAATAGATTAGTTCTATGGTTTAATTTACTGACTGGATTTGAGTTAAATCTAGTTTGACAGTAAAGTCTATCAGGATATTAACCCATATGTATTAGTTTAAATGTTCTTTATCTTCTAAGCAGGTTTGTAGTTTTATTCTTCCTTTATCAGAACGCTCTTCAATCAGAATAAAGGTTGAATCCTCTGAAGGTGTTCCTCCTCCAGTCCATCCTGTCTAACTCCTCCATCATGTTTTCAGTCCTCAGAGCAGAAACATGAACCATTACTGGCTGCTGGTCTAACTGGTCTGAATGAAGGTCTCTGTGGGAACTAATGGTTCCCAGAGAACAATGTGGGAGAACATCCATGCTTAATGAGAAATATTGAGCTGCAGCAGTTTGGAAACATGTGACAGTCTTCTGTGTGAGAGAATAATGAAGTGATGTGAATAATCAGAGCTCTGTAGCTCAGTGACAACAACACAGCCATGTTAGCAGCTCCTCAGACACACAGAGAAAAACATGCAGTTAAAGCTGCTGTTGGTTGCTTGAATTTCTCTGCAGCTAAAAACTCAAAGCAGAATCTCTTTCAGCTTCATTGAACAGCTTTTTATCACAACATGAGAAAAACACACAATGATCCATTTAGCTGCATTTGAACTTCTGACTGCAGTGAACTTTACTGAGCTTGATGAAGATCCTAGCAGCTCTATAGAGAACAACACGTTAGGATGACAGACACCAATGAGACATCATCACTTTGTGTCTCCAGCTGCAGATGCTGTTCAGCACAACTGAGATTTATGAGTTAAATGAGGATCAAGGTGAAGCTTTAGCTGCTGTTGTTCATGAGATGGACTGAAGTTCTGCTTGTTTCACTCATGTTTGCTTTTAGTTTGGATGTTTTAGTCTAAAAACTCAAATCCTAAAGTCCCAGAGATGATAATAACTCAGAGATCTGAGCCACAGGATCAGTGTTTGTGTTGTGAGTCAGTAACAGCTGCTCTGATCAAACAAGTTTAACATGTCATTTCATCACATCCATGACAGACATGAACAAGATGGAGTCCATCAGTAGTGTGTGGTTGTATTGATGCAGCTCAGATCAAATCAGCTCTAAATGTTTCCTTCTTGTTGTTCCAGGTTTGATTGGAGCTCAGATCGTCCTGAACAAACCAGGTTCTTAGTGAATCTGTTCTGTGCAGCAGCAGAGAGAGAACAGCTGACAGGAGAGAAGATGGTGGAGCTGTTAGCATCAGTCTGCAGATATGAAACATTTATTATTTATTATCAGGATGATGATGAGGATGATGATGATGATCACATCAAATATCGTCTTGACTTCCTGCTGGATCTGTACTTCCAGATGAAGGACTGTGAGACTAAAACAGGTCTGAGTCTCCTTCCATCATTACAGTCAGTTTTCCAGTCAGCTCCTCCAGAATGGACCATAGATCTCTCAGAGAGAAAGACCTCCATCCTCCTGGAAGTGTTGAAGCTCCAATCAGAGAAGAAACCAGTGAAGCTGACAGACTGCTCACATGGAGAGAGTGAAGTGAGGAGTTTCCTACAGTGTCTGCCTTATATCTCACAGCTCAGGTACAGATACAAATACTTTGACTGTAACTGTTGGAACATTCATACATGTTCATTTTGCTTTAATATCAATAATAGTTCAGTTATTTTCCTTTATAATCAGACATGTTTAATATTCTCCACATTTTCCCTCATTGTTTATTTTAACATTATAACTTTGTCGTAGTTCAGAGGAAACATTTCTCTGTTGACAGCAATAGATTAGTTCTATGGTTTAATTTACTGACTGGATTTGAGTTAAATCTAGTTTGACAGTAAACAGTCTATCAGGATATTAACCCATATTTATTAGTTTAAATGTTCTTTATCTTCTAAGCAGGTTTGTAGTTTTATTCTTCCTTTATCAGAACGCTCTTCAATCAGAAAAAAAGGTTGAATCCTCTGAAGGTGTTCCTCCTCCAGTCCATCCTGTCTAACTCCTCCCTCATGTTTTCAGTCCTCAGAGCAGAAACATGAACCATTACTGGCTGCTGGTCTAACTGGTCTGAATGAAGGTCTCTGTGGGAACTAATGGTTCCCAGAGAACAATGTGGGAGAACATCCATGTTTAATGAGAAATATTGAGCTGCAGCAGTTTGGAAACATGTGACAGTCTTCTGTGTGAGAGAATAATGAAGTGATGTGAATAATCAGAGCTCTGTAGCTCAGTGACAACAACACAGCCATGTTAGCAGCTCCTCAGACACACAGAGAAAAACATGCAGTTAAAGCTGCTGTTGGTGGCTTGAATTTCTCTGCAGCTAAAAACTCAAAGCAGAATCTCTTTCAGCTTCATTGAACAGCTTTTTATCACAACATGAGAAAAACACACAATGATCCATTTAGCTGCATTTGAACTTCTGACTGCAGTGAACTTTACTGAGCTTGATGAAGATCCTAGCAGCTCTATAGAGAACAACACAGTAGGATGACAGACACCAATGAGACATCATCACTTTGTGTCTCCAGCTGCAGATGCTGTTCAGCACAACTGAGATTTATGAGTTAAATGAGGATCAAGGTGAAGCTTTAGCTGCTGTTGTTCATGAGATGGACTGAAGTTCTGCTTGTTTCACTCATGTTTGCTTTTAGTTTGGATGTTTTAGTCTAAAAACTCAAATCCTAAAATCACAGAGATGATAATAACTCAGAGATCTGAGCCACAGGATCAGTGTTTGTGTTGTGAGTCAGTAACAGCTGCTCTGATCAAACATGTTTAACATGTCATTTCATCACATCCATGACAGACATGAACAAGATGGAGTCCATCAGTAGTGTGTGGTTGTATTGATGCAGCTCAGATCAAATCAGCTCTAAATGTTTCCTTCTTGTTGTTCCAGGTTTGATCCTCAGAGCTCATATCTTCCTGAACAAACCAGGTTCTTAGTGAATCTGTTCTGTGCAGCAGCAGAGAGAGAACAGCTGACAGGAGAGAAGATGGTGGAGCTGTTAGCATCAGTCTGTAGATATGAAACATTCCCTTTAGAAGAAACATATATGGAGGATGGAGATGTTTTAAAATATCAGAGTCACTTCCTGCTGGATCTGTACTCCCAGATGAAGGACTGTGAGACTAAAACAGGTCTGAGTCTCCTTCCATCATTACAGTCAGTTTTCCAGTCAGCTCCTCCAGTCTGGATCATAAAGCTCTCAGAGATACAGACCTCCATCCTCCTGGAAGTGTTGAAGCTCCAATCAGAGAAGAAACCAGTGGAGCTGACAGACTGCTCACATGGAGAGAGTGAAGTGAGGAGTTTCCTACAGTGGCTGCCTTATATCTCAAAGCTCAGGTACAGATACAAATACTTTGACTGTAACTGTTGGAACATTCATACATGTTCATTTTGCTTCAATATCAATAATAGTTCAGTTATTTTCCTTTATAATCAGACATGTTTAATATTCCCCACATTTTCCCTCATTGTTTATTTTAACATTATAACTTTGTCGTAGTTCAGAGGAAACATTTCTCTGTTGACAGCAATAGATTAGTTCTATGGTTTAATTTACTGACTGGATTTGAGTTAAATCTAGTTTGACAGTAAACAGTCTATCAGGATATTAACCCATATTTATTAGTTTAAATGTTCTTTATCTTCTAAGCAGGTTTGTAGTTTTATTCTTCCTTTATCAGAACGCTCTTCGATCAGAATAAAGGTTGAATCCTCTGAAGGTGTTCCTCCTCCAGTCCATCCTGTCTAACTCCTCCCTCATGTTTTCAGTCCTCAGAGCAGAAACATGAACCATTACTGGCTGCTGGTCTAACTGGTCTGAATGAAGGTCTCTGTGGGAACTAATGGTTCCCAGAGAACAATGTGAGAGAACATCCATGTTTAATGAGAAATATTGAGCTGCAGCAGTTTGGAAACATGTGACAGTCTTCTGTGTGAGAGAATAATGAAGTGATGTGAATAATCAGAGCTCTGTAGCTCAGTGACAACAACACAGCCATGTTAGCAGCTCCTCAGACACACAGAGAAAAACATGCAGTTAAAGCTGCTGTTGGTTGCTTGAATTTCTCTGCAGCTAAAACTCAAAGCAGAATCTCTTTCAGCCTCATTGAACAGCTTTTTATCACAACATGAGAAAAACACACAATGATCCATTTAGCTGCATTTGAACTTCTGACTGCAGTGAACTTTACTGAGCTTGATGAAGATCCTAGCAGCTCTATAGAGAACAACACGTTAGGATGACAGACACCAATGAGACATCATCACTTTGTGTCTCCAGCTGCAGATGCTGTTCAGCACAACTGAGATTTATGAGTTAAATGAGGATCAAGGTGAAGCTTTAGCGTCTGTTGTTCATGAGATGGACTGAAGTTCTGCTTGTTTCACTCATGTTTGTTGGGATCTGGAGCTGTACCAACTTTCTCCAGCAGAGTGTGCCGTGGATCCTCCTGAGCTGAGCCTCCAACACACCTGAGGCGCATCTCGTCATCAGTGGATCCTCCTGTATATAACCTGCCTTCAGACCTTGCCTCAACGCCGCAGTGTTGATCCAGTTTGGTTAGCACCTGAGCCTAGTATCTCCTGAGAATCTTTGTTGTCTCTTATTAGATTGGATTCTAATACCTCCTTGTCTCTGCTTTCAGGAATCCTCTCCCTTGTAAGCTCTGGATGAGCTTAACCTGCCGAGCCTGCCCTCTGAGCCAAACCTGAAGACTCTTGTCTGGATTCCCATGCAGCTCTTGGCTAAGAGCTGGAAACCCAAACTCAAGGTCTCCAGTGAACCTGCCCCCAGGCCTTTACCAGTTCCTGAGTTTATTCCATGTGCTTGTATCAATAAACATTGTTAAACTTTTCATCTGTCTCCGTGGTGTTCTGCATACTGGGTTTATCTGAAACCCATCATGACAGAACACTGCGGCCAAACACAAAGCCCAGCAGATCACCTCCGGAGGAGGCTCGAGGAGCAGAATGCCCAAATCCAAGGAGATACCAGAACCCTCCGTGAGTTAAATGCATTTATGGAACATCATAACCAGACCTTACAGACTTTCGCTGGCTATTTTGGAAATGCTAACGCTACGCCAGCAGTACTTCCTGTTCCGGATCCACTTCCGCCTCTAGGGTCACCGGCAGTGACGTCATTTCTTGAATTCCGCCCTAGTCTTCCTGAAAAGTTTTCAGGTAATATGAAAGACTCTAAAGGATTTTTGTTTCAGTGCCGTCTAATTTTTCAGAACTCTCCTGGCAGTTTCCCAACTGATCAAAAGAAAATTTATTCTGTCCCAACTAACCGGACGAGCCCTAGAGTGGGCGGAGGCAAGGTTTGCCTCCGAAGACAGCCTCAGTTGTAAATTCTCTGATTTTGTTTCAGAATTTTCCCAAGTATTTAACCAAGAATCTGACCAAACAATTGACTCTCGTGCTCTTTTGAATCTTAGACAGGGAAATTCCTCTGTAGCGGATTTTTCCATCAACTTCCGGGTCAAAGCCGCAGCTTCCGGATGGAACCAATGTGCTCTCAAGAGTGCATATTTTAAGGCTTTAAATGAGAATATTAAAGACGAACTTGCAACCCTCGACAAACCAGCAACTCTAAAGGAATTAATCCGTCTGACTATTAGGTTGGATAACAGAATCCGAGCCAGAAACAGTTCAAAACCAAGGAATCAAGGTTTTTTTGAGTTAGCCCCTGCATCTAATAATGCAACTGTTTTTTCTGGTCCCACAGAACCCGTTTCCAAACCGAGGCCTAAAACCCAGTCACTCTCTTTGCCAGTACAGGTCTCTTATGCAGTGGAGACGGAAGCCGAACCCATGCAGGTTGGACATACGAGGCTAACTCCTGAGGAAAGGCTAAGACGTTTCAGATGCAAGTTATGCATCTACTGTGGTGAGACTGGCCATTTCATCGCTTCATGCCCTGCTAAGTTAAAACCCGATTCTCTCTCTCGTCTTTATTCCGTTGATCAATCCGAGACGCCTGAACCTGTTCTCCCCGCTTCCTGCACTGTTGGAGTGGTTACCTGGGAAATCACCGACCTCATAAACTCTGCCCTGGCTTCTGAACCTGACCCAGGTAACGGTCCTTCAAACAGAACCTATGTCCCTTCCTCTGTCAGATCTCGCCTGATACAATGGATGCATACAGCCAAGTTTTCCGCTCATCCGGGGGTAAGCAGAACCATCGCCCTAATTTCTAGACGTTTCTGGTGGCCTACCCTGCACAAAGATGTCAAAGAGTATGTTTTGGCTTGCTCCACCTGCGCCAGAAATAAAACCTCACATCAACCACCCTCAGGTCTGTTGCATCCTCTTCCGGTACCAACTCGTCCCTGGTCTCACATCGCCATCGACTTCGTCACTGGTCTCCCAATCTCCCGAGGTATGTCTACAATTTTTACCATCGTCGACCGATTTTCAAAGTCTTGCCATTTGATCCCCCTTAGGAAACTTCCCACGGCCTTCCAAACCGCCCAGCTCCTTGTTAAACACGTCTTTCGACTCCATGGAATCCCCCAGGAGATTCTTTCTGACCGCGGACCTCAGTTTATTTCTCAAGTCTGGAAGGCCTTCTGCGCAGCACTCAACTGTAAGTCATCTCTCACTTCTGGGTATCATCCACAGTCAAACGGTCAAACTGAAAGAATGAACCAGCAGCTCGAGTCTAATCTCCGTTGTCTGACATCCAACAACCCCACCGACTGGAGCCAATACCTCACTTGGATTGAATATGCCCACAACTCTCTCAAGTCTGCTTCCACCGGCCAGTCACAATTCCAGGTTAGTCTCGGATATCAACCTCCACTTTTTCCAGCAGATGAGAGAGAGATTTCGGTTCTGTCTGTCAACCATCACATCCGTCGTTGTCAACGTGTCTGGAGAGACACCATCGCTTCACTCAACCGCTCTTCTGAGACAACCAAATGCTTCGCTGACTCAAGGAGACATCCTGCCCCAGAGTACGTCGTTGGTCAGGAGGTATGGCTCTCCACTCGGGACATTCCCCTCAAGGGGATGTCTCGCAAATTATCTCCTAGATTCATTGGTTCGTACAAGATTGCCCAGGTGATTAACCCTTCAGCCATACGCCTGCACCTTCCTTCTAGTCTTCGCATCCACCCCACGTTCCACGTCTCCCAGGTCAAACCGGTTGTCTCTAGCCCTTTGTGCCCTCCATCCGACTCCCCTCCACCCGCCCTGGAAGTCGATGGACATCCTGCCTTCACCGTCCGCCGGATCGTGGACTCCCGTCGGCGAGGTCGCGGCTGGCAGTACCTCGTTGATTGGGAGGGCTACGGTCCGGAGGATCGCCAATGGGTTCCTGGCTCCTACATCCTCGATCCGTCACTGATCGAGGAGTATGAGCGCTCCCTCCCGTCGACGTCTTCTGGACCGCCAAGAGGCGGTCGTTGAGAGGGGGGTACTGTTGGGATCTGGAGCTGTACCACCTTTCTCCAGCAGAGTGTGCTGTGGATCCTCCTGAGCTGAGCCTCCAACACACCTGAGGCGCATCTCGTCATCAGTGGATCCTCCTGTATATAACCTGCCTTCAGACCTTGCCTCAACGCCGCAGTGTTGATCCAGTTTGGTTAGCACCTGAGCCTAGTATCTCCTGAGAATCTTTGTTGTCTCTTATTAGATTGGATTCTAATACCTCCTTGTCTCTGCTTTCAGGAATCCTCTCCCTTGTAAGCTCTGGATGAGCTTAACCTGCCGAGCCTGCCCTCTGAGCCAAACCTGAAGACTCTTGTCTGGATTCCCATGCAGCTCTTGGCTAAGAGCTGGAAACCCAAACTCAAGGTCTGCCCTCAAGTCAGAAGTAAGACGCTGAAGCGGTTATTGTACTCTGCTGAACAGAACAGTCTCTGGACCCAACAGTTCCTCTCTCAAAGCAAAACCCGGATTAATCAAGGTATCCATCTGAAACTCTCTAACTCAAGATCTTCAGTCCACAAGCTAACTGAACTGTCATCCTCACAGACTGCAGTGAACCTGCCCCCAGGCCTGAACCAGTTCCTGAGTTTATTCTATGTGCTTGTATCAATAAACATTGTTAAACTTTTCATCTGTCTCCGTGGTGTTCTGCATACTGGGTTTATCTGAAACCCATCATGACAATGTTTGCTTTTAGTTTGGATGTTTTAGTCTAAAAACTCAAATCCTAAAATCACAGAGATGATAATAACTCAGAGATCTGAGCCACAGGATCAGTGTTTGTGTTGTGAGTCAGTAACAGCTGCTCTGATCAAACAAGTTTAACATGTCATTTCATCACATCCATGACAGACATGAACAAGATGGAGTCCATCAGTAGTGTGTGGTTGTATTTATGCTGCTCAGATCAAATCAGCTCTAAATGTTTCCTTCTTGTTGTTCCAGGTTTTATCCTCAGAGCTCAGATCTTCCTGAACAAACCAGGTTCTTAGTGAATCTGTTCTGTGCAGCAGCAGAGAGAGAACAGCTGACAGGAGAGAAGATGGTGGAGCTGTTAGCATCAGTCTGTAGATATGAAACATTCCCTTTTTATGGTATTAATAAATATCAGAGTGACATCCTGCTGGATCTGTACTCCCAGATGAAGGACTGTGAGACTAAAACAGGTCTGAGTCTCCTTCCATCATTACAGTCAGTTTTCCAGTCAGCTCCTCCAGAATGGACCATAAAGCTCTCAGAGATACAGACCTCCATCCTCCTGGAAGTGTTGAAGCTCCAATCAGAGAAGAAACCAGTGAAGCTGACAGACTGCTCACATGGAGAGAGTGAAGTGAGGAGTTTCCTACAGTGTCTGCCTTATATCTCACAGCTCAGGTACAGATACAAATACTTTGACTGTAACTGTTGGAACATTCATACATGTTCATTTTGCTTTAATATCAATAATAGTTCAGTTATTTTCCTTTATAATCAGACATGTTTAAAATTCTCCACATTTTCCCTCATTGTTTATTTTAACATTATAACTTTGTCGTAGTTCAGAGGAAACATTTCTCTGTTGACAGCAATAGATTAGTTCTATGGTTTAATTTACTGACTGGATTTGAGTTAAATCTAGTTTGACAGAAAACAGTCTATCAGGATATTAACCCATATTTATTAGTTTAAATGTTCTTTATCTTCTAAGCAGGTTTGTAGTTTTATTCTTCCTTTATCAGAACGCTCTTCAATCAGAATAAAGGTTGAATCCTCTGAAGGTGTTCCTCCTCCAGTCCATCCTGTCTAACTCCTCCCTCATGTTTTCAGTCCTCAGAGCAGAAACATGAACCATTACTCGCTGCTGGTCTAACTGGTCTGAATGAAGGTCTCTGTGGGAACTAATGGTTCCCAGAGAACAATGTGGGAGAACATCCATGCTTAATGAGAAATATTGAGCTGCAGCAGTTTGGAAACATGTGACAGTCTTCTGTGTGAGAGAATAATGAAGTGATGTGAATAATCAGAGCTCTGTAGCTCAGTGACAACAACACAGCCATGTTAGCAGCTCCTCAGACACACAGAGAAAAACATGCAGTTAAAGCTGCTGTTGGTTGCTTGAATTTCTCTGCAGCTAAAAACTCAAAGCAGAATCTCTTTCAGCTTCATTGAACAGCTTTTTATCACAACATGAGAAAAACACACAATGATCCATTTAGCTGCATTTGAACTTCTGACTGCAGTGAACTTTACTGAGCTTGATGAAGATCCTAGCAGCTCTATAGAGAACAACACAGTAGGATGACAGACACCAATGAGACATCATCACTTTGTGTCTCCAGCTGCAGATGCTGTTCAGCACAACTGAGATTTATGAGTTAAATGAGGATCAAGGTGAAGCTTTAGCTGCTGTTGTTCATGAGATGGACTGAAGTTCTGCTTGTTTCACTCATGTTTGCTTTTAGTTTGGATGTTTTAGTCTAAAAACTCAAATCCTAAAATCCCAGAGATGATAATAACTCAGAGATCTGAGCCACAGGATCAGTGTTTGTGTTGTGAGTCAGTAACAGCTGCTCTGATCAAACAAGTTTAACATGTCATTTCATCACATCCATGACAGACATGAACAAGATGGAGTCCATCAGTAGTGTGTGGTTGTATTGATGCAGCTCAGATCAAATCAGCTCTAAATGTTTCCTTCTTGTTGTTCCAGGTTTGATCCTCAGAGCTCATATCTTCCTGAACAAACCAGGTTCTTAGTGAATCTGTTCTGTGCAGCAGCAGAGAGAGAACAGCTGACAGGAGAGAAGATGGTGGAGCTGTTAGCATCAGTCTGCAGATATGAAACATTCCCTTTTTGTGGTATTGATAAATATCAGAGTCACTTCCTGCTGGATCTGTACTCCCAGATGAAGGACTGTGAGACTAAAACAGGTCTGAGTCTCCTTCCATCATTACAGTCAGTTTTCCAGTCAGCTCCTCCAGAATGGACCATAGATCTCTCAGAGAGAAAGACCTCCATCCTCCTGGAAGTGTTGAAGCTCCAATCAGAGAAGAAACCAGTGAAGCTGACAGACTGCTCACATGGAGAGAGTGAAGTGAGGAGTTTCCTACAGTGTCTGCCTTATATCTCAAAGCTCAGGTACAGATACAAATACTTTGACTGTAACTGTTGGAACATTCATACATGTTCATTTTGCTTTAATATCAATAATAGTTCAGTTATTTTCCTTTATAATCAGACATGTTTAAAATTCTCCACATTTTCCCTCATTGTTTATTTTAACATTATAACTTTGTCGTAGTTCAGAGGAAACATTTCTCTGTTGACAGCAATAGATTTGTTCTGTGGTTTAATTTACTGACTGGATTTGAGTTAAATCTAGTTTGACAGTAAACAGTCTATCAGGATATTAACCCATATTTATTAGTTTAAATGTTCTTTATCTTCTAAGCAGGTTTGTAGTTTTATTCTTCCTTTATCAGAACGCTCTTCAATCAGAATAAAGGTTGAATCCTCTGAAGGTGTTCCTCCTCCAGTCCATCCTGTCTAACTCCTCCCTCATGTTTTCAGTCCTCAGAGCAGAAACATGAACCATTACTGGCTGCTGGTCTAACTGGTCTGAATGAAGGTCTCTGTGGGAACTAATGGTTCCCAGAGAACAATGTGGGAGAACATCCATGTTTAATGAGAAATATTGAGCTGCAGCAGTTTGGAAACATGTGACAGTCTTCTGTGTGAGAGAATAATGAAGTGATGTGAATAATCAGAGCTCTGTAGCTCAGTGACAACAACACAGCCATGTTAGCAGCTCCTCAGACACACAGAGAAAAACATGCAGTTAAAGCTGCTGTTGGTGGCTTGAATTTCTCTGCAGCTAAAAACTCAAAGCAGAATCTCTTTCAGCTTCATTGAACAGCTTTTTATCACAACATGAGAAAAACACACAATGATCCATTTAGCTGCATTTGAACTTCTGACTGCAGTGAACTTTACTGAGCTTGATGAAGATCCTAGCAGCTCTATAGAGAACAACACGTTAGGATGACAGACACCAATGAGACATCATCACTTTGTGTCTCCAGCTGCAGATGCTGTTCAGCACAACTGAGATTTATGAGTTAAATGAGGATCAAGGTGAAGCTTTAGCTGCTGTTGTTCATGAGATGGACTGAAGTTCTGCTTGTTTCACTCATGTTTGCTTTTAGTTTGGATGTTTTAGTCTAAAAACTCAAATCCTAAAATCCCAGAGATGATAATAACTCAGAGATCTGAGCCACAGGATCAGTGTTTGTGTTGTGAGTCAGTAACAGCTGCTCTGATCAAACATGTTTAACATGTCATTTCATCACATCCATGACAGACATGAACAAGATGGAGTCCATCAGTAGTGTGTGGTTGTATTGATGCAGCTCAGATCACATCAGCTCTAAATGTTTCCTTCTTGTTGTTCCAGGTTTGATCCTCAGAGCTCATATCTTCCTGAACAAACCAGGTTCTTAGTGAATCTGTTCTGTGCAGCAGCAGAGAGAGAACAGCTGACAGGAGAGAAGATGGTGGAGCTGTTAGCATCAGTCTGTAGATATGAAACATTCCCTTTAGAAGAAACATATATGGAGGATGGAGATGTTTTTAAATATCAGAGTCACTTCCTGCTGGATCTGTACTCCCAGATGAAGGACTGTGAGACTAAAACAGGTCTGAGTCTCCTTCCATCATTACAGTCAGTTTTCCAGTCAGCTCCTCCAGTCTGGATCATAAAGCTCTCAGAGATACAGACCTCCATCCTCCTGGAAGTGTTGAAGCTCCAATCAGAGAAGAAACCAGTGAAGCTGACAGACTGCTCACATGGAGAGAGTGAAGTGAGGAGTTTCCTACAGTGGCTGCCTTATATCTCACAGCTCAGGTGAATCCAGGATTTCTTTCTTCTAAATTAATTTCTCTTCAGTTTAATAATCTTTGATGAATCTAAACAGAGATGCTTAAACTCACTGATCTCTGCTCCATCAGGATCTTCTTCATCTTTGCTCTTTTATCTTTTGTCTCATCGTTCTCTCTGTATTCCAGCTGTGATCCAGGGTTCTTCCAGATCGTTTGTTCATCCACACCATTCAGATCCAGAGAGGAGGTCCAGCAGCTGGTGTCTCTTCTTCAGCTCCTGAACTTCAACCTGCGTCTAACAGGAGAGTTGGGCAGGAAGACCTGCAGCCCTGTGGGCAGAGTTCTCCGTCTGTGTGGATCTAAAGTGGATCTGATCCTAACAGCCAGAAAGATGTCAGTCAGAGGAGCTTCTGTCCTCTTCAGATCTACAACACAGCTCCACAGTCTGAGGCAGGAACCTGGAGAACAACGTCTCTTCTTCACCGTTTATCTGCTGTCATATTGAACCATTTCTTCTTGATCTCCAACGTCTCTGTTCCTCTTTCTGATTGCAGACTGTCCAACGCTGTGGCCTTGTTCCTGTCTCAGTGGGTGAGAAGAGGCAGAGTGACCTTTCCTCTGGTTGTTGAAGAGCTTTCTGTGGTTTCCACCACAGCTGGAGCATCAAAGAGAGCCTTGTTGAAGGTTGGCAGCAGTTTGGCGTCTCTGCTGAGGTTCTGGACAGTCAGACGGTTAGACCTGACTAAGTCCCGCCTTCCTACTCAGAGTCTCTTCAGTCTGCTGCTTCATGATGCTCCTCTCTCAGTCAGGTAGATGTCTTCTTCATCTCCATCAGCTGAACTAAACCCAGATAACTTCTGATTTGATCTGTGATCTCTGCAGGCTGAGTGAAGATGTTCTCCAGCAGCTTGTGTTCCTCCTCCATGAGGTCCAGGACCAGGACCTGACGTTGTCCTTCTTGAAGAAGGTTGGTGGAGACCTGAGCTCCTGCCGGTTGAAGTGGGAGATGCTTCACTATCTGCTGCAGCAGCCGTCAGATCAGACCATCACCGTCAACCTGAAGAAGAACAGCTTCTTACAGGAGAGAGCTCCACAGCTGCTGCCCTTTCTGCACAGGATGGTGCTTCAAAGGTGGAGGTTTTGATTCTTCTAATCAACGGTTGGTCTGATCTTCCATCAGCAGCCTCTGGAACTAAACAGTGTTGTTGTGGATCCTCTGCTTCCAGGCCCAGACCCAGCTTTGTGAGGACTTCCATCAGAGAGATCTCCAGAGCTCTCAGCAGTCACATGATCCCCGCTTTGCTGAGGTCACTGGATCATGTGATCGACCTGAACTGCACAGAGCTGGACTCAGAGGACTGTGCTGCTCTGCTCTTCATCCTCAGACACAGTGATGGAGTTAAACTGAAGCTGCTGTGGAGCTCCATCCCAGCAGAGGGAATCCAGTCCATCCTCCATCTGCTGCACAAAGTTTCTGATCTCAGGTCAGAAGTTAGAGCCTGTTCCTCAGGACTGCAGACCATAATAAACCGTTCCCTCCTCTCCATTAACTGGTTCTTCTCTGTTCCCACCAGTGTGGACAGGAAGCAGCTGCTGAGCTTCATCCACTGCTGCGCTGCCTCTGACAGCCAGCAGGAGGCAGCAGCAGCCCTGCTGAGGACTCTGCAGCACAGCGTGGATCTGTCCTGCTCCTCCTGTGTGGAGCTAGCAGAGGAGGAGCAGAAGGAGCCTCTGAGGGTGACGGCTGCTGACTGCAGGGCCGTCTCCTCCATCCTGAGACACAGCAGCAGGGACACACAGCTCCACCTCAGAGACTGTGAGGTGGAGGACAGCGGGCTGGACCTGCTGTTTCCTGTCCTGGACAGGGTCCGTCTCAGGTGAGGAGGAGGAGGGAGGATGAAGCTGAAGCAGGGAGAAGCTGCTTCACATTTATGCTGAAGTTCTTTGTTCTGTTCTTCCTGTTTAGAGTCAGTAAGACGGTCCTGGTCCAGCTGCTGTCCCTGCTGACTGTGGGCAGTGAGAGGGACACGGTAAGACGGGCGGTGTCCCTGTGCAGAGCCCTGGGAGGGGAACTGGACCTGAGTCACAGCACACTGGATCAGAGGCTCTGTGCAGCTCTGGTTCTGATGCTGGACTACTCTGAAGGTCTAACAGAGCTGGACCTCAGTCACTGCCAGCTGACCGACCTGCTGCTGCTCCAACTCATCACACATCTGCACAAGGTCAAAGTCCTGGAGTAAGTGTCCCAGACTGTCCCTCTGTGGGAGACAAACCCAAACATTCCCTCGGTTCTGATCCAGATCAAGTGGATCAGCTGATCCATAGACTTAGATCTCAGCCAATCAGGCTTCAATGAGCCGTGATGCTGAATTCAGGTCCAGGAGAGACTCCTGTCCCTGTTAGTGTCTCTATGATGAGGACAGACTTCTGCTAGAGGACGCTGTCCAGCAGGACATCTGGAACCTGCTGCTCTTCTCTGTGGTTCTGATGATTGATGGACGTGTTCCAGTAGAACCTAACATGATGCAGAGTGCTGTGTTTGTCTTCCAGTCTGAGTCACAATCAGATCACTGATGCTTCTACTGATCAGCTGCTCCTCCTGGTCTCCATCAACCCATCCATTGGTTCTGTGAGGTGAGCAAACATTCAGCTGATTCATTATTTAATCTCTCATTTATTTATTTATTTTGCTTTTCTTCTCCTGGGAGGAAAAGATCAATAAGATTATGCTTAGAAGAAACATCGAGTCCAGACCGCCGGTATGTGGGGGTCTGAGCGGCTCCCACAGAGAAATAATCTTTGAAGGCAGGATGGTAATCTGGATGAACTGACTGCACAGACCATGTTTTCAGGAGGACTTTCTCACTTCAACATAGATTCTAACTACTTTTTACCCGCTGATCACAGCTAATATAGCAAAGCTGCAGCAGAAGCATCAGATGCATCTGGACACACTTTACTGGACGTCTGTCCTTAATGTGGACAAGCATCAGAAATGAAGCAGCAGAAGCTTTTTGCTGCTGGTGTGAACGTAGCATAAGAACTAAGACAGACTTCCTACACTGTTGATTGACTAAATCTGGGCAGAACCTCTGAGCAACAGATTAATCTACACTAAATAAAGACCTGCTAACCTTAAAGAGGTCAGAATATAGAAAATAACTGCTAATAATCAATATTTATCAAAATATTTAAAAACAAATATGAGCTCAGATTGAAACTACAAATAAGAGTTTTCCTAAAGAAGGTCTAATAAAGAAGTTAGAGTCATTCTGCAGAGATGAAGAAACAAGCTTTAAACTTCTGGAAAAAAATAGAACAATGGATGAAGATAAAAATCAGAAGTTCCAGTTTATCAAATGTTCGGGTTCAACAAAGGAACATGTCCTGAATATTTCCTGTAGAGGTCTCTGTAGAACAAAGACATGTGATTGGTCTAGTCAAATCAGGAAGTAGGTATTCCTAATAAGGAGAGAGGAGAGCACAGATTGGAGCTAACGTTCATGAGTTAAAGAATGAAAACTGTAAATATTCATTCTCTGACATTTATTGAATGAGGTTTCAGTTGAATCACGTCTGTAGTTTGATTTAAAGGAATCTCTCTATGCTGGACGTGTTTCTGATGGGAAGAGTTGATTGAATCTGAATATTAACTCATCAAGTTTAAACAAGGAAGCAGGAGCTTCTAGAGCTTTAACACATAGATTGAAATTATAGAACAGATGGAGATAAATACATTTAGATTAATATCAGAAGTATTATACGTTTGAATAGTATTTGCTGCTTTTTTGCCTCATTAAATGTTTCAGATCATCAAACAAATGTTAATATTAAAGAAAGAAAGTAAATATAAGTCAAAGTTTTTCTTTCTTGTGTAATTTATGAAGAGAGAAAAGCGAGCGACACCAACCTGATTGCAGAGCTTTGGTCCCGTTAGTCTCTGTAAAGATGGACCAGAGGCAGGAAGGACTCAGTAAACAGGCTGAGCTCCATCCATCCATCAGGGCTCCATTCCAGCCACAGATTTACAGCAAAGTCTCTTCTTCAGAGAACAATCTGAGGATATCTACAGATTTCCAACCATTAATCATATCCAACAGGGTGAGGTCTAAAAACATGGGTACAGGTTGTTGGACTGTCACCATCAGCTTTAAATCTGGGCTTTGACTAGGACACTCCATTAGCTTTAATCTATCTGCTTTGGTTCTGCTTCCTAATGGACTTTGGAGATCTGTCCTCATAGATCTGGAGCTGAAGGCCACAAACTGATGGCTAGATCTTCTCCTTCCAGATTTTCTGCTAAAGCTCTGAATTCAAGGTTCCATCAATTAAAGAAAGTCTTCCTGAAGAATCAAAGCAGTCCCAGACCATCACACCACCTCCACCGTGTCTGAATGTCAGCATGATAGTAATGTACAATTATAATATTTATTACCCAGCCCAGTAGGGGTGGTAAGTATGTTATTTAATAAATAAAATCCAGACTGTCACATATTGTTCTGGGAACACACTCATCCATCTGGCTGTGTGTTAGAACAACAAATGATTTAGAACATATATGGAATAAATTCACCACAACTTTCTTTCAAAATATAAGAGTTTATCAACAAAAACCATTCAGCTCCAAGTAAAACATATTTCAGTTAAAACTCTTGACTAAACCAGTGAAACTCGACTAAGAAGAAGGAACAACATCAATAAATCAATAAAATGATGCAATGATATCACAGTTCAGCATGAATTTAATATTTGAGAACCAAAGTTTATCTGGAAGAATTTGATCAAATTAGCTTTTTACTAATTTATGGCAAATGAAACAAAATCATGTTTTATTAAATAATTAGTTGAATCAGGAACCAATAACCTTTAGTTAATTGATTCCTAACCTTCTCTGATTGAGCTGGTAGCGAGCAGACATGAGGATTACCATTAATTAACTTTTGGTAATCATTTGGTGATCAAAATGTAAAGATATGAGAAAACACATGAACATTAACGTTATATCAGTGTTTAAACCATTAGTGAAATAAAGCTTGTTTTAGCTTTATAAACATGTTAGCATGGCGTACCATGCAGTCTATTTAGTTAGCTTGCATTAACCAACAGTAAACAGATGAAATAATGAAAAATCTTTAAAGAAACAGCATTTAGCTTCATAGCTGCAGGAGAGTTCTTTTTTCTTAGGATCTCCCCTCCTCCAGTATCTTCATCTGAAACTCAGAGGGAAATGTTGCAAACAGTCTGTTTTGGCTCTGATGTCAGCCACCAGGTCCACTCAGCCTTTGGTCAGTCTGGAGTTCTGCTCCCTGGACATGGGGGCCATGATGGCGGCTCTCTGATGGGAACTGGACAGAGATCAGTCCCCAAAGAGGAAGAAGCAGACATGAGACAGCTGCTTTGTTTCTTGATGCCTGATGTGTTGCTGTGATTTATTGATTCTACAGATCAGCTGATAAGGTCTGGGTGTGGCTGGACCAGAAAATGGAAAAATCACAATTCATTTAGGATTTAATATGGAGGGTAAGAATAGTTTAACATAGGATCAGGTTGGTTTGGAGCTTTGTTTACATTCATTGATGAAATAACATTAAAAACTGCTTTTGGTTCTTGGTAATAAATGTATCACTAAAAGTGAGACGACTCAACCAATTAAGGCTGAAGTGAAAACATCAGTTAATGTGATCTCTACAGCAGGCAGCTTAGAGGAGCCTCTTCTGTTGAGTCTACAGATAAATCATCCTTCACAGGTGGAAGGGCTGAAGGAGGATCTTAGATCTTTCATTCTCCAACTCCTGATTCCTGCTGAGTTTCAGTGTCTTCATGTTGTTGGCAGGGTAGGAAAGTTTTATTCCCACAATGAGTCGTTCTGTTAGAGCCAGAAGGAAACAGTTTCTCCTCATATAGTCTCTGGTTTCGTAGCGTCTCTGATTGACATTTGCTCCATGTTGAACTCACTGATGGAGTTTAAGCATTTTAGCTCAGAAGGACCAACAGGTGAGTTTTACTGGTTTTATTGGTTTCAAAGTCAGAATCAGATCCTTATTAATGAACCGATAAAGAAACTCTGAGCAGCTTAAGCTGCACTTTGACTTTTAGCTTTAGTTGCTCAGAGACAGATTCCAGCAGTTTTCTTTGCTCCAGAGATGATGTTTGGAGATTTAAACCATCCTGGAGCAGCAGTCTGCTGAAGATGAACTCTGATCTCCTGCTGAAGCCATGTTGTCTGGTCTGAATGAGTCACATCTTCTCTCTGCTTTGCTCTGTTTCTAGACTCTTCAACAACAACATCCTCAACAGAACTCCTTATAAGGACAACAGGAAGTTTGAAATGTGGTGAAGCCGCTGTCAGTCAGCTGGTCATGTGACCAACAGGAAGTCCCTGTCTCCTCAGGATCCTCAGATGGACGTATCAGCTGCTAACTCTGAGCTGGTCAGCTCAAAATAATCCAATCATTCTTTAGGTCATTCCTTCGTCTCTCCAATGAAGAAGGTTTATTTCATAATCTTTTATTTGTCGTGTTTTAATGTTTCTCAGAGTTTCTTTGGTCTAAGCTCTAAGTGTATCAATTAAGAGAATTTGAGGGAAACTTTGGAGCCAATGTGTCACATCATGGATCTGTACTGTGGTGCTTCATGTTATTCAGACCTCAGAAAAATTGTTAGATTGCAGATTTATTTGGTTTATATTGATTTTTGCAGATTTATCTTGTTTATATTGATTTTTCTTCTAAAGAAATGTTTATTTCTGGCTGTTTGATAAAGAGCTTATAAAGTTCATAACAACATGTTTTGTGGTGTTTTTTGTACAAGTAAAAAATGTTTACAAATGAATGTAGTTTAAATTCAGCGCAGTTTAGCTTTTTGTATTATTATTACCTATTCAATTAACAATCAATTGCTTAATTAATAGTTTATCATTAATAATATATTTCTAATGAAATTATCTATTAGGAATCATTAAATATAGAAAAAGTATAATAATCTAATATAAACAGAAATATCCTGTTTATAGTGCAGCAGCAAGCTTGTGTTGCTCTCATGTTAAAACAGAATGTAAAATGATATTCAGACTGTTTTTAAATTAAAATATATATATTGAATTTATTGATTGATTTATAAAAAAAACAGTTGGATTTCCTCTTAACTTACCAATTAAATTGATTCAAACAACAGTGGAGTGGTTTTAGTTTTTGTAATTTATTTTGAAAGAGTTCACAGGAAGCGCATCTCTGATATATTTTTTTCTAACTTTATTTTAGTTGTAGTTACCACTGGCAGCCACCAGGGGGCGAGGCATAAAGCCGCTGATCTGAGACTAGTTTGTTTGTAGCTCTGTAGCTAGCTGGTTTCCAGACTCAGATCAGCAGATTAACTTCTTCCCAGTTAGAAACATTTAAACAGATGCTTCTCCTGGTCTCATTCTAATGGTTTTATTTCTATATGAGTTGGAATGAGCTTTATAGGGTTCATTAAACAGCCCACAGAGACTCAGAGCGGAGCTAACGATGCTAACAGACGCTAGCAGGAGGCGGAAACACTGGAGGATGTTTTTAGCTCTGAGGCTGATCTTCATCAGCCCTCCCTGCTTAACTCTGATTATCAGCATCTATAGATCTACACCCTGATGCTGAACCACAGCATCCATCTTTGGCTACACAAACAATCCTTCAGATTTTCTTTTTTACCATCATTATGATTCATTGTTCTAAAATTCTGAAGAAGTGTAATTACAACCTAATACCACGGGAGGGCAGTATAGAGACCACGTTCAGGACAGAATCTGTAAAAATAAAATATTAATTCTTGTTTAGTTAATTTTCTCTTGTTCATGATACATTAACTGAACATTTTCAGTGACAGTGTTCAATGTTCTCATCTCTTGTGTTTATCACAAATAAATATTGTATTAATTAACTTTTGATCTGTTTGGGATAAAAACTGGCAGAGTGTTAAATTTACATCAAATTTAATATATAAATGTAAAACTGGTAGATCTCTATTTATTCTATTCTATTTATGACTTCTAGCTTCCCTCGGCTTGAATTAAAATATGTCAGATTTTGATCTTAGTCTGAAAACAGTAGATATAACTTTCCAAAAAAAATTAAAAACAATCCACTGGACTTGGTTTCCAGTGGATTGATTTTAATTTATTTGGAATGACCATGAACTGGATGACTGAGAACCTTCACCAGCAAGTAAATATAACTGTATTTGGCTTCTTTATCACAAAATCTGTATTTTTTTTTCTGTTATTGAATCAGAAGCAGCTTCACAGAATTGAAAACTGTATGAGGCTCTAAAACTGATTTTTATTCCTGCTCCCTGTTTTACATCCAGACTGAGATCATTAGCAGATAATTGATCTACAGGCTGATTGTGGTCTATTTCTATCAGAGCAGAGAGGTTTCCGCCCTCCAGTGGACACAGCTGGTAACTACAGCTGGTCTGTTTTCTGTTCCTGATTGGCTAACAGAGCCCATGTTGACAGCTTCCTTTCTGTTGTGTTATTTCCAACTATCCTGCCCCCAGAATTCCTCTATCAGAATGAATTAGCAGCAGCTCCACTGAGTAGAAAACAGAGACTGAGAGGGGAGCTAACGATGCTAACAGACACCAGCAGCACTTTAAGTTACTGTGGAGGATGTTTTTAGCTCTGCAGCAAATCCTCCCCTCTGTCTCCTGTTTTTTACACACAAACTCTGATTATCTATATCTGTAGATCTATACTCTGATTCTAAACGGCATTATCTTTCAGTCCTAAATTAATGGCTTAATCTTGTCCTCCAGGTGAGTTTTTCCTCCATTATAGAGCGTGATCAAAGCCCTGGCAGTGAATGGAGTCACAGTTCATGTCAGCTTTAGCAGCACTGGAGACCTTTTTGGACTCTGATGAAGTGAAAACATTCCTGGATTTAACAAAGACTGAAATAAATGAGGCAGAGTTTCCAGCTGATGTTCAGTTCAGGAAGTGCTGGATCTGTCCATGGTGCTGAAACACAGACTGTGGGTCAACTTCTTCCTGCCTATTCCAGTGTTTTGGATCCATGTCTGTGGTCTGCTCTGCATTAAAACATGACTTGGCATCAGGTGGGTCCACAGCTTGGAGGGTCTGACTTTTTATTAATGCATAATAACCAAGAAAAAGACAGAGGAGGACCATCTAACAAGATGAGGAATTTAACAACTTCACCATTTATGAACCATTAGATCCATTAATTAGACAAATTTAAAAGAAGAAAAAAATAAATAAGCTTTATCTAATTTATACAGAATTTTACTTGGTCTCAAACTGGTTGTTTTAATTTGGAAACATAAACCAGTTTGACACGGAGTTAAAATCCATTACAATTATTATTCATAAAATAAATCTAAAGCTAACTTTTATATAAGAAAGACTAAAGTATGTAGAAAAATAAGAATAAACACATCTTTGACAGACTTTTAAAGATAAATTACACATTTCTATCTAAATAGAAAACCATCATATTTCATATCAAAGAAGTAAAGTTTTTTCTCAACTCTGAAAAGGTGAATAAATAGAGCAGGATCAACAACCTCTCTACCCTCAGTCCAGCTAAACTAGATGTTCTAGCAGCCATTGAAGCTGCAGCAGAGAGGTCCAAACATTTCAGAGAAGAGATCATTGCTTCATCCAAACATGGAGGATAGAAGAAGAAAGCAGAGGCTCTGAATGTTGATGGAGATTCAGCTGGAAGCAAAGTTTGGACTTAAAGGCAGATCATCTGTGACCCTGAGGGAAGATTAGTAAGAATTAAGAGAATCATTATTTCTATGAGCTGATTTATTGCTGATGTTTTTGGTCCAAATCCTAAAGCTGCTCCTTATTTCTCTGGGACCTGAGGAGAACCTCCCTGGTTTGGTGGGGGTAATGGGAGCTCCTCCCCCCAGTGATTGTCCCACACGCCTCCTTTTTACTCCTCTTCTGTGAAGATTCACATAAAAACACAGAGCATATTTCCACAGAGGCAGGAGGAACCATGGATCTGCTCACAGACAGAAGGACAGTTATCTCTAATATTTGCACAAAGGAGAGTTATTACAGGTTCTTTGATCTTGGTGGAAATACACAATAATAAAGTTAAACAACAATTTAGATCTATAGAAGCTGATTTGTGTGTAAAAAACATGGAAAAGACGTGAAGATCAGCAGCAGAGCTTAAAAAATGGAGAAGCTTCTTGTTAACATGATGGAGATGAAAATGCAAAGTTAATGTTAAAGGAGGCAGGAAAGTTGGTGAAAAAACACAATAGGAAGAAGAAAAGATCAACAGGATCTTCATCAATCTGGTAACATGTTATTGATATAATTAGCTTTGTTAATTAATGGCATTTGATTCTACTGTTTAAAAACACTTTGTAGAAGTTAGAGGATCAACTTCAGCTTTTTACTCCAGTAAAAGTGTAAAAGTACCATTTTTAAACTACTTAAAGTATAAAAGTAATGCAGGAAAAAATGTTAAGGCCAGAAGCTTTACTGCTCTACTCTATTAAAGGAACAATTTTCTACAATTCTGGATGATATCTTCTTTACAATTAATTTTCTTAGTTTTAAAACAAATGTCAAATTTAACTAGAGGAAATAAGACCACTGAGAGGGATTATTTGTTCAGACTCATCTTCTTCAATCATTAGTTTACAGAGAAGTCACTCAGATAGCAGAGCAGATATTTTGATAGAAATCCAGCAAACATTATTTAGAATTCAAATGATGAGCATTACAGTCATATTTTTGTGGGTACCAGCACATAGGGGAGTTAAAGGAAATGAAATGGCAGATAAGGCTGCAAAGGAGGCTACAACAAGAAAAGATATTGATGTGCCAGTTAAAATGAGTAAAATGGAAATAAAGAGCATTATTAAACAGAAGATGAAGGAAAGGTGGCAAAAGCAATGGGAGGAAGAGAGGAAAGGACGATGGTTTTACATGATTCAGAGGAGAGCGGGAGAAATGAGATGTGCAGGGAGGAACAGAAGAGAGGAAACGATTATATCAAGACTTAGATTTGGGCACACAGGATTAAATATTACATTATTCAAAATAGGTAAACATAACAATGGCAGATGTGAATACTGTGAGCAACAAGAGACAGTTGAACACGTTATGGTATACTGTAGGAAGTATGAAAGAGAAAGGAAAGAAATGGTTCAAAATCTAAAAATGGAAAGAATACGATTTGATTTAATAGAAATACATAGAAAAAACTCAAGAGATAAGTGTTATGTAACTGTTTTTCATTATCTTAGATTAATAAATGTAATTGAGAGGATCTGAATCTTATTTTGGTTTTGTTGATATTGTTTTGTTACTTTGATTGTGACTTGTTTGTTTAGTATAAATTAGTAGCCATTCTGATCCACACTCCATACCAGTTGGTGGCGGTAATGCACCATTTCGTTGCGTGCCAACTGCCAAAAAATTCCATAAAGAAGAAGAAGAATCTGGGCCTTTCACTCAGTTACTCCACATGGGTGTAGAGGGCAACTGGCAGCCATTACAGTCGAGCTTTTAAGCCAAATCTGGGTTTGGTGCACAGACAAGAAGGTAAATAGATACAATATGTTTGTCATAAAAGCAGTGCAGCCAATAATGACCACATCCTCTTAGGTCCAAGCAATAGTACCAGTCATCAGTCCTGGGAA